TCGGCATCTTGTACTTACTTCCTTGCGTACGGATGACAGCTACGTATGACTTAATTTATTTTCTGGTGCTTTCACTTCCAGAGACAGTTGTAAGCACTGTGTAACTGCCTCGAGGAAGCTTGACCATTTTAACACAACGTGGTGCGATCATCCCCCGTTGCGCGGAGTGAGGTTTCTCGACCCCGCACAACATGATCTACTCGACCACCATTATGGTTACCGCCAAAAAAAAACCGAGGTAAAAAAAAAAAAAACGGTAACCTGGTTGCCGAGTTCACGAAGTGAATTGGCTTGTTTTACAACGTCGTTGCCAAGCGACGAAAACCCAATCCCGATGGCAAACACCGAGTGGGGGGCTTGTTTTTCAACGTCGTTGCCAAGCGACGAAAACCCAAACCCCGATGGCAAACACCGGGGGCGGCGGCTTGTTTTACAACGTCGTTGCCAAGCGACGAAAACCCAAACCCCGATGGCAAACACCGGGGAGGGGTGTTGGGGGGGGGCTTATTTGTTGCTCGCCTTTCCGTATTGACGACAGGCACCTTCATAGTCGTTCCTTTTTGGCCGCGTGATGGAGCTATTCCCAAGAATTGAGTACTTGTAGTCCTGGGGCTTGATTTGGCTTGGTTTCCATGACCTGCTTTCTGTCTTTTGTTTTATGTGGACTTCGTCTCCTCTTCGCCCTTGCCAGCTCTTGTCGGGTCTTCTTCTGCCGTATAAAATCTGGCAGGCGCGAAGAGGCGACGAAGAGCACAAAAAGAAAGGCCGAAAGTAGGGCATGTAAACCAACCCAAATCATCTCTAGGAGAACTCAGCTTGTTGCCTCGATTGGATTTGACGACGCCTTGGACTGGCGGAGCTAGCGGCCGTGGTTTGGGCCGGGGGGGGGGGGTGTACAGTCGTGGGGCGTTTTCGAGTTTGACGTGATGTGATGTCATTTGCTGTGCCGTTGGCATCTGTGGTGCTATTTGCATGGTGTAAGTGTCGCTTTCGTTCCAAAGATGGTGCCGTATGTGCAATGGTGTGCGTCGAGTTTGGTTGCGGGTGGTTGTTGGTCACCACGATCACCACGCCATTGGTTCTAACGCCCCCCTCGCTCCGCTCGACTATCTTGGTGTTGTTGCTGGTGCTGCTTCTGCTCTTGTTGCTGTTGATGCTGGTGTTGCTCCGGCCTTGTTGTTGCTGTTAATGGTGGTGCTGGTGCTACTGCGTTAGTCGAACGAGACGGACCAGGCGGTGACGAACCTGCTCGGGGAGGTGCAGAAGCTAGAGGCCAAGAGGGCGAGCATCCGCAACGTGATGGCGCAGACCAACAAGGACCTGGGGCACATCAAGAAGGCCGCCGTCACCACCGAGGAGCAGCTGCACGAGAAGGAGGAGCTTCTGGAACAGGTAGGTGACGGCGGTTGCCTATATGTATGCATAACCGACACTTCTTGGTGGTCTCGGAGCAGTTGCTGATATGTATGCATAACCGACACTTCTTGATGGTCTTGGAGCAGTTGGTGGTGTGTAAGTGGAATGCATGATCGACACTTTTTATGTTGGTAAGTGCAGGAGCGTGGAGGGGTACAGTAGAACGTGGCGGCCACATTTGTATGCAAACTTGAAGGGCGCCTGTACAACCAGCACTGTGCATCGTTGGTGTAGCATGACACGTACATGTCAATCGTGTTGAGGAGTTGTTTGCCGTTTAATATGGCGCTCGGGTATGAACCATCTCGCTGAGTGCCACCAGAGGCAGTTTGTCCGTGAGGAGTTCTAGTGGTACCCAAAGGGAGCATGCACAGCGTTTGTGGTGAGAGTGTGAGTGAAAATTGGCACTATTTACTACAAGGAGAGGGGAATCTGCCGATGGCACAAACGATGATAAGGTCGAAGAGAAACGGGGCTGGTATCCTCAAGGGCAGACTTATGTCCTTGAGTTCTTCCTCTGATCATGCAGTGACCCCCGCCCCCTCCCCGCTTGATGTCGCTTTGCTGCACCAAAAATGATGTTAACAGGTTAGCCGGGAAGCGCAGCAAGAATCGAACAAAGCGGACGTCCTCCAAGCCGAGATCGGCACTCCCCTCATGGTGAGTGTTGTAGCGCCCTGCTGATTGCTATTGTCGCAGGCACGGAACCAGACAGCAGTACCTGGTGCTGCTCTTCGTAGGAAAGGAAAACACAGCAGTGTGCATAGCATGGCCTGAGCCGGCCGGACGAGGAAAATTTTTCCGATCACGTCACTCCACTCGCGAATCATCCTACTAGCCAGACAAGGCTTAGCCACGTTCCGCACGCATCTCCCTCACGGCGCCATCTTCTTGCGTGTATAGCCAACCAACCGACCAACGAGTGCTCAGAGCTAGCGGTGATTTGCTCGGGATTTTGTGCTGACCCGAAGGTTGCGATGTGGTTGGTTCTACCAACAAGAAACAGTTGTAAGGCAGACAAGGTTTGCGGGGAAGCCTTCTTTGCCTCCCGCCATCAAACAGGCCATCTGGCTGCCTGCCTTACCGGAACAATCCTCTCCAGCCAACAACTCCACTCAAGCCCCCGTGGGTGCCAAGAACACAACAACCATTTTTATGAGACTAAATTGAGACAAAACAACGCCCCCTTTGTAGGCTACTCTGACGGAGGCGGACCAGCGCACGCTTCACGAGCTCAACACCGTCCGGGTGCCGGCCCTGAACGCTCGGCTCAAGACCGAGTTCGACGCTCTGGAGGTGACCGCGGCCGCGCGGACCCGGCTCCTGTCCATTCTCAACGGGAACCTGCAGAGGCGGCGAGAGGTGAGAAGGGCCTGTCTCTTGGTGTTGTGTGCTGGGGTGGGGACATGCTTGAGTGCAGGCGTTCTTGCTTGTAGAGACACATGCTCGGAGGTTTTTCACTGGTGCTTCAGCTATCTAAGAGATTTTTCTTCGTTTTCTGTCTTTTTTTTGTTGTTCGTGTCGTTACGGACCCCCCACGACATGCTCTCCCCTGAACCCCCCCGCGTGCGCGCGCGCGCGCTCCCCTGCTGGCGCTGCTGAGACCTCGCTACAGGTGCCACGCTGCACCTTCATTGAAAATGGTTCTTGACCATGTCAATTCATTGATTCGATTGGTGCACGACTCATAGCGCGGCGGCATGGGCATCATGATAATGATGAAGCAGCTCTTGTCGACGTTGATGTTGTTGTTGTTGTGTTTTTCCTTGTCGTGCGAGCAGGAGGTTCGAGAGCTGCTGGACCCCGATAGAGGGGGCATAGGGGGCAGCGCTAGGTCTGGGGAGGCGGAGGAGAGGCTCGAGACTCTCGCGCAACGGCGCGAGGAGCTCTCCAAGGTGACTATCTTCTCTTTTCAGTGGGAGCGGCCTTCAAAGAGTGGAATGCTGTATAGGCTGAGGGCACGTTTGAAATCGATCCCCCAACTGTCCCCTTGGTTCGCGTATGCCTCCCGTCACCTCTAATATCCCTCTGGTGTGCGATACCTCTGACACACGTGTAGGTTCACATATTAATTCCCTCACAAACTCTCTTGTATAAGCATGTAAGCGGTTTTTCCAATGACTCATCTGGGATCCGTGTGTGGTTCACCCGTCACGTCCACCGCTTCTTGCACACGCGGTTTCACCTCTAGCTCGCCCCAGCGGTCTGAGACACACGTTTTGTGGCAACGCTTGATACATTATTACGCCCCACACTACAGGCGGGGAGGTCTCTAGAAGCGCTGCGGGTGGAGCTGGAGGACATGGAGAAGATCGCTTCGGAGCGCAGACAGGAGGTACCCCTTTACTGTGTATTGCAATATGTAGAACCCCCATTTTACGTTTGCCACACACACTCTGACCGAAGGCGTACTCAAGGAAATCCCTCGCGCAACAGAAAATACTTTTGAGAGTAGTCAGGAAAACACGAGACGCGTCCCTTTAACACCCGCCACTCGTCTGTCCCTGCTCCACGGATTGTCCCCCCCCCCCCCTCCCCCCCCGCTCGGTGTTTGCCATCGGGATTGGGTTTTCGTCGCTTGGCAACGACGTTGTAAAACAAGCCAATTCACTTCGTGAACTCGGCAACCAGGTTACCGTTTTTTTTTTTTACCTCGGTTTTTTTTTTGGCGGTAACCATAATGGTGGTCGAGTAGATCATGTTGTGCGGGGTCGAGAAACCTCACTCCGCGCAACGGGGGATGATCGCACCACGTTGTGTTAAAATGGTCAAGCATCCTCGAGGCAGTTACACAAGTGCTTACAACTGTCTCTGGAAGTGAAAGCACCAGAAAATAAATTAAGTCATACGTAGCTGTCATCCGTACGCAAGGAAGTAAGCACAAGATGCCGAACACCCTTAGCAGGATGCAGCTCACCCTTCATGCGACTCGCCAAATACCTCACGGCGCTTCGCGCTTGGTGATGTGAGAGCCTGGTCCGGTGAGAACCCGGCGTGCTCCGTCCCGGCTTTGTAGGGATGCGAGGTCAATGGTCTAACGACTACGGCATGCACGACTATGAGTACACCCCCCCCCCCTCTGTTGCATTTTTTGTAAAGGTGTCGGCGATCCGGAAGGAAGTTGACAACATGAAGGCGGAAGAGGCGAGACTGCTCGAGCGACTGGCGGAGGAGTCGAAGGTACTGTGTGCGTATCATATCAATCAGAAACACAACAGACACATGGACGGATGCGTTGCGTTCTTGGTGAAGAAAGGAAGAAAAGGAACACGAAGACAGCTTCAAAAGAAAAGCCAGACTTTTGTCTTGCGTGTGGTAAAAAGTTAAGGTTTATGAAGTTTTGTCTCGGTATCTTGGCGATGCTTCCTAGAACAGGCGAGTGAGTCCCGAGCGAAAAAAAAATCGCGATTACAAACACGCAACTTTGAATGCGTGCGAACACTGGTGTGTAGGGTTGGTGCATTTTTTTAGTACATGTAGTCAGCAGGAGGCGGAGGCGCTACACAAGAACGGTCCGACGAGACGTGGAATGAAGGTTTGCTTCGTTTTTGCCGATGTGGTTTATTTCGCGAAAGAAGCGGCACAAAGAGTTCGTTCTAGTCCTCCTGCAAGTTGTTGCCACATTGAAAGCTCCGTGTGGTAAGATTGGAATCATAAACATGCTGTGCAGTGTCTGGTCTGTCGAATCACTATCAGCAGTGTTGTTGGCCATGCCCCTTCCCTCAGCAGTGAATTCACTCCGTTGTTTGCAGTTGTTGTTTGTTCAATTTGTTGTTCAATTTGTTGCTCGGGTTTTTGTTTCTGTTGCAGTGATCATCACGTCATCATCGTTGTCGTTGCCGTTGTTAACGTTGTCGCGCTTGTGTTATGCCGTGCGTGAACAGGTGAAGGGAAAGCTGAAGGGCAAGCAAGAGATGTGCGTGACCCAGCTAGAGGACAACACGCAGAAGATGCAGAGCCTGGGCACTCTGCCCCACGGCCAGCACGAGCAATACAAGGCAAGCGGCTGCGCGACTGGTTGTTTGTTTCCTTACACACGCAGACGTTCGTTCGTGTCCCGGATGCCTCCTTTTTGGACTGACGTCCAGTGTGGCTGTGCCCTCGTCCATGTAGTGGATGTTCTTCTCCCTGTTCGATGACCGGCTTTCGATGGAGACAGATCATTCTCAACAGCGCGAAGCGCTAGCCTGATATTGAAACGACGGGGTGGGTAGGGGGCCACGCTGACGAGCGAGATCAGCTGTACCCCCCCTGGCTCGGTTGGGCCGGTGTTTAGTGTTTGGACCCTCTGCTGGCTTGCCAGCTGACCGGTTAGTGTTCGTTTCCCCTCTTGGTGGTGGTGTTATTTCCGACTCAGACGATGGACACGAAGAAGCTGATGAAGAAGCTGAACGCTGCCAACGAGAGCCTCAAGAAGTTCAGCCACGTGAATAAGAAGGCGCTGGACCAGTACGTGAGCTTCAGCGAGCAGAGGGAGACCATCCTCAAGCGGAAGAAAGAGATTGACGCGGCGCAGACGGCCATCAAGGAGCTCATCGAGGGCCTGGACCTGCAGAAGGATGAGGTGGGTCGTGGTTGTTCGCTGGCCACGGTGTGTCGCGGTGTTCACCTCTCCGCCTCCGAATTGTGCTGTCAAACAGCTTTGAACATCCTGGATATTTTTTATGGTAGATGACGGCTTGTGCCTAACCTTGTCGCCTCGACAGTGATGATCGTTTTCGGGATGTTGTCACACAGCTTTGAACACCCTAGTAGTTGGAATTTTTGTTGAGGTTGATGACGGCTTGTGCCTCCTCTCGCCTCGAACGTGGGGATTATTTTTGCGATGTTGTCGTCGACCAATGATATCGGTCGTCACGGTGAAGCGATGAATGATGTGCACTGCTTTACACCGTCGATTGCACAAGATACCACACCCCCTCGACCCCGACTATGGAAGCCTGATTACTCTGCGGAAACAGCGGTAGTGGCTCATGGCTGAGCTGAGATGGCGGCGTTGGAACCGTAATCGTGTAGGAACGTCTCGTCTAGAGCTTCCCGAATTCGCATATATTTTGACTTTTATATCCTCTTTGTCGTGGAGTGATCGCGCTTTAGAATTCGGTCCGGGAGGTGCGGTCTTTTGTTCAACCAATGTACGGTAACCCTTGTTTCCGCCCCCCCATCGATGATGATGCTATCGTCATGGGTGGCAGCGATGACTTGTCCTCCAAAAAATCGAAAATGAAGTAAAGTTGAATGACATACAGTAACTGTATATATATTTGGTCTACTTCATGCGGCTTCCTTTGCCTTGTAAAAATGCAGGCAGTTTCATATCTTCATTTTAATGTCCTTAATGCGGCTTCCTTTGCAATTTCCGAAAAAAAATGAAAGGCAATTCTGCGGACGTTCCGAGGGGTGAGCCAGAACTTCTCGGAAGTGTTTCAGGAGCTGGTGCCCTCGGGATCGGGTGTGATGGTCATCAAGACCAGCGCCGACGCTGCCGCAACCACCACCAAGAAGAAGGGCTCCAAGAACGCTGAGGAGGAGGAGGAAGAGGAAGAGGAGGAGGAGGAGGAAGAGGAAGAGGAGGGTGGCGACGAAGCAGGAAACGTGAGGAGTTAGGTTGGCGAGTTGTTTCTGGGATATGAAGGGGGTGCGCGATGTGAAGGGGGTAGGTGTCTTTGCTTGAGAGGGGGGTCCTCTGCAACTGGCCCTCTCTGTTGTAGCCATCATGGAACCCCCCGTCCCAGACCTTCCAAAAGAGAACGAAAAGCGATGACAGCCGGCGGTACATGTCGGAACGCTCAAGTCCGGACCAATACCTCGAACATCCCAAGTAAAAGGAAAGGCGGCAACGGAAGGGCCGGATATTCCCTTCCCGTCCAGGATTGGAGAATGTTTTGCCAGAACCATGGTTGCGGTTCTCCACGTGCAAAAAGCCTAGCTTTACTTCGTTGAGTGTGTATCCCTAACTTCCTTTCTATCCCCCCCCGCCCCCCCCTCCTCCGCCGTCTCCTTTTCGTGCAACACCGAATTGTGTTGATACCAACGATAGCCCGGATCCGGCAAGAAATCTTCAAAAGGGAAAGGGAAAGCCAAGGCCAAGGCACGGGAAGGAGGAGAAGATGGAGCGGGGGCGGATGAAGAAGAGCCGAACGGCTTGTCGCCAACGACGCTGGTCAGCGACTTCGTCGGCGTCCAGATCAAGGTTAGCCAGTCCGCCCGTCGATCGTAGCGTTGTTTCTAGTGTCAACGCGTAGGGCGTGTCGCGTTTTTCTCTGTCGTTTGGCGTTGTTGCATGATTTGACAAAAGGTTAGTTTTTTGTGCGGTTTTGGGATCCACGTTGACGTCGACATTCTTTTTATCTCGTCGGGTGCGTCGTGCTTTTCATTGGTGTGTTTTGCGTTGTGCACGTTTTGCGGGTTACCGTTTCCATCGGTAAGGAACATGAAGATGGCCTGCTACCGGCTGGATCGGGGAGGAATATGGGGATGATAGGAAGATAGTAAGGAATGATGACGTTTGGTGGCACTCCTCGGGTCGACGTGAAAAGGCCCACAGCGCCGCTGTGTGCGTTGTTCTAATTGTTTTTCTTTTTCTTTTTCTTTTTCTTTTTCTTGCCGTTGTGTGTCCACCGATCGTTGGTGTTGTTTTGTTTTTCTTCCCATCGCCGATGGTCACATTTCTCGCCCGTTATGTCGACGAACGCCCTTCCCGTTGCTTCTTGCGATCGTCTGGTGTCGTGGTCGTGGTCTTGGTTAGGTGTCGTTCGTGGCCGCGGGGGAGACGTTCCTCATGTCGCAGCTCTCGGGGGGGCAGAAGGCCGTGGTTGCTCTCGCCCTCATCTTCGCGATTCAGCGCTGCGACCCCGCCCCCTTCTACCTGTTCGACGAGATTGATCAGGTGAGAAGGGTGCGGACGAGAGCTCGGGTCGATAGACGAAAGGAAAGGAGCTTCTATCGCGTGCTGTCCGTTGTCGTTTGTGTTTCATTTTTCGTATTTCAAACGAGCCAGACTTTGGACAGCCCCAGCGTCCCGGTCGTGGTGTGCCTCATGGTGATCGTCTCCTGAACACTCGGTTTTGGTTGTTGCGTTCGGCAAATATTCCGCGTGGACCCAAGGTGTGCATGCTTCAAATTCACTTTTTTTTATTTCGGTTTTTCACGGCCAAACCAGGCACTGGATAGCTCCTACCGCGCGGCCGTGGCCTCACTGATCCAGAGGCAAGCCCATTCGTCGGACAACCCGACGCAGTTCATCACCACCACGTTCCGCCCGGAGATGGTAGCTGTCGCAAGCCAGTGCTACGGAATCTCCCACCAGAACAAGGTACGTGTACGTTTGGGCTCCGCTTCTCAGACGAAAAAAAGGCCTTTAGGCGGATGGCTGCAACGTAGATAGGTGCTGTGTTGGGGTTGCGATTCGCCCCGAAACGTTTTTCAACTGAAATGCGATGCTAATGGTTTGTGATGAGAGTAATGGTGCGTGTTTTTTTTTTATCTTGGCTCGCCGCACGCTACCGGATCTCCCACCGGAACTAGGTATGTTGGCGTGTGTGGCGAAGTTTATCTTGTCGGGAGTTGGACAGTTTCGAGTACCACCTATAAGTCCGATCTCAAGCGTAATACAATGCGACCGGTCGTTTGTGGGAATGTACGGTTTCCGTGGAACGAGCGCCAACTCCCCCCCCCCCCCATGCCTAAAGGCAGCTCCCCTCCTCCTGGGTTGTTTCCCAAGGTTGTTAACGAAGTGATCAAGAAACTCCCCGGTAGGTATTGCATCCCACGTGGATGGTTTGATTGTCTTCCATTAACTCCTGCGCTCTGTTTGAACGATTGCGTACACACAACTTCAAACTGACGCCCCCCCCTCCCCCCCCCCCCCGGTCCTCACCCACCCACCCAAGGTGAGCAATATCCACGTCCTGCCGCGCCAGGAGGCTCTGGGCTTCGTGGCCAACATCATGAACGAAGAGGAGGCCGTCGGGGTGGAGCTGCAGCAGCCCGCGAGCGCCGCGCGCCAGAAGCAGGGAGGAGGGTCACGCCGGGGCAGCAGAGGTGCCAGGGAGGAGGAGGTGGAGGAGGAGGAGGAAGCGGACGAGATGGACGTGGAGGAAGAGGAGGGCGATGACGAGGAGGAAGAGGAGGAGGAGGAAGAGGAGGCTCGTAGGCCGTCATTGGAGGGCAAGAGGCGCAGGGTTAGGAGTGGGGGCGAACGGGAGTCTTCCTCGCGATAGGGGTGCGGCGCATCATGGCGCGCGCGCGGCGACGATGATGATGATGATGACGCTGTTGGCGTGGACACATGCCTTGGAGTGTTTCAGCCGTCCGGTTGTTTCTTGTGTGACGACAAGGGTACCGTGCGTGAGCTTGTCTTGGGTTCTCGGTAGCGGGAGCTGGCCGGGTTGTTTGTTCTTGGCACTATGTAGCGAAAGCGCATGCTCTGTGACGATAGTTGGGATTTGGGGAGACGGAACAGCCAACCGAATGTTCTGCGTATGTTCTGTCTCGTTTATCAGGGAAACATACGTGGTCTAACGTTTAGAGCGGCTGAATGAAGAGACACAGTTGAGGCGCAAGATGTCTGTCAGAAGACGGCCATTGTAGATTATCTGGGACTTGACTATTTTCCTCGGCAAGACAGACAGACACACAGAGAGAGCTTGTTGATTTCCTAGACGCTCAGATCAACCCAGGTACACTCAGAAACACAGGCCTGTCTTGCCCGACAAACGACCGGGAAGCACCCTTTGCGAGGAATGAATGGAGGAGAATGTCCCTGTTTCACGCAGAAAAGATTCGGAGACCAAAGAGATTGTTGCGTTCCACCAAAAACATCGCGGATCCCTGACGCTGTGCACCGGATTGTGTTGGTTTGTTTCCGGTTTTTCCCCAAAGCCCAAGGCGGGGCGTTTGGACGGGCTCAAACGGAAGCCCGGGCGCCTGATTCGGGTTGATTGCTGTCTTCGTTTCGCCGGAACATCGCGTGATGCGGACTAGAGGTGCAGATTGTATCGACTCAGAGGGGCGCGCTTTGCTTGACGATGATAGCATGCGTCGGGCGTCCACTTGTAGCTTGCGTTCTTTCGTCTTTGGATGTAGGGTCTCCGCCTGCCTGCCTGCCTGCCTGCCTGCCTGCCTGCCTGCCTGCCTGCCTGCCTGCCTGCCTGCCTGCATGTATATCTTGTGTGGTACGACGGTGGGATTAGGAACTTGCAATTATGCACCTGTGGAAGAGACATGAACATTGTGAGGAGGCGATTGTAGTTTTTCATGAACGGCAGGTCGGGCGTTTCCAGGCTAGACAGGAGCAGAAGGGCGGGTGCTGCTGCGACCAGGGGCGGCATGATGAGACTGAGCCACGAGGGTATGGCAATGCCCTACAAATATGATTTATCGCGTTTCTGTACCTTTACACCGAAGGTTGCACCGTATGTGATGTATTCAGGGTGTTAACTCTTCGCGATGTATATTTTTTGGGGCGGTCTTGTCTGGTTGTTTCGTGCTGAATTTTTTTACGATCTGTGTGCACAGCAGGTCACACAGATGGTCCGTTCGTTGTTTCCTCTTGCGTATTTTGTCTGTATGGGTATAGTCTCGTTGCGTGTCCACTATTTTAGTCGCTTTCTGGTTCCAATACCTCCTCGCTGTCGCAGGAAAAGACCCTCTGTGAATTGTGTACAATTGTTTGAGGAAATAGAGGATTGTGACATCCTGGGAGATACACGCTTTTTGTTCTTGAAGCGTTTCACACACTTCACTGGCTGGTGAAACTGTAGGCGTAGGGTGTAGGCTAGGGTAAGGGCTGCATGGTATTTAGCACCCTCTGAGGGCTGAACGCTTCGCAGGGCGAAGGATTTATCGCTTCCATTGGTCTTGTCGGCGCCACAGCCTCTTTTTGAATCGGATCTTCTGGCTATGAACTTGTGGGCTCAAGTTATTTGGCTGGAATGGATTGGCTCACTCCGGATCCCCGTGCCTTGGTTCAGGAAATGTTGAGAGGCCCCGGCGGATACAAACTTTTAAGCTTTGGTCTTCCGGATTTTGTGACGCATGTTGGGGGGGGGGGGGTAGAGAGAGAGAGAGAGAGAGAGAGAAAGAGAGAAGAGGATTCAATAGAAGGAAGTGTTGGTCAACATGAAACGGCTCAGGCTGCTGGCATAGCGACACATACACTTGAAAAGGCAAAACCTTTCAGGATGGTATGCATGTATGGAGGCCTACATTCATCGCAGACCTCCCAAACACATGGCACAACACTCAACGGTGTGGAGAACAGGTCAAGGCTGTGTTTTGGTGTCTACTTTTTCCATCGCTACTCTCGATCGTTAGTATTTCTACCCAGGGCTTGACCAAGTCATCAAAGAAGGCGCATGGCTGCAGCCCAACCATCCCCGGCTTCCAACAACCGCGCGTATCGCGTCTCCCAGCCTTCTTCGAGGGCTTGCGCCCACTCAAAGCTAGCCAGACCTGGGCCTCGCAGACGGTCCCCGGCGTAGCGTTTCCTGCGTCCAATCGGGGAGGGGGTATTGCCGCTGTCACGAGCATTGGGGTGCCAAATCGTAGATAGATGTCTTCTACTTTGAGTCCCAAATTGGTGGAAGATAGGCCGATAGACCGAGGCAGCAGTTATTACGTGCTGACAGTCCGGGGGCGACCGTTTACGGATCTGATTCCGTACTACGTAAACGAGACGGATTCCCGACCAAGGAGCGGTACAATAGAATAAGGGCATCGCTTCTATCCCTAGAGTGCACGTTGCGCAATCTTTCGGGGCCCGGCTTTGAGAAGATGTTGAGCGACTAGCCATCCATACCTTAGAGATGCGTACACTTTGAGACGCTCCAATAGCTTGACCGACCGCTTTTCATCCTCGAATTGCTGCCAAAGACGTGCTGCGACATCTTTCTGTCGAACGTAATTCGCACAAGAGAGTTGGAAACATGTGCCCGCACGATTGAAGGGGGACGGTGGGTGATGCGCACAACCAAGGTGAGGGTCGGAGATGGGGCACCGGCGAAAGAAACGACGACAAGAAACGGTACGAGAGAATTTTCCTGAATATTTCTAGCCCAGCAAGCGGAACAGACCCCCGTGCGCTGATCAGATCGACAAGAAACTGACCGCCAGGCTTCAACACGTCGTACCCGACCACATCATTTACCTTTTGAGACGCGCCTCCGCCGGACACGCGCCGCCCTTTGCGCCTCTTCCCCAACCACCTCTTCAGGCGACGCGATCGGACATTGGCTCGGAACGCGTCCACGGAAACCTACGGAAGATTGATATTGTTGCGGCAGGAAAGAGTGTGGGAGTGCAATTTTGATACCGCCCTAGACACTAGTCGCGACCGATGTCAGAGGAAGACGTTGTTTAAACGACGAACAGATACCGAAAAGACGTAGAACGGCACTTACATACAATGCATACGAGATATACCGTGCCCCTCCAACACTTTCTCAGTGTGACAGTGGAGCCTGTCTTTCTCCAAGCCCTCGATCTTCTAAGCATGGGAAGTACCCTGGTAGATAATGCCCGCATGATCGCGCTGCTGTTATACGGTCAGAGCAGTGTAGCGCTTCCCGCTTACACCAGAGCATCAACCAGAAAGCCTAAGACGTAATGTTACCTGCCGTAGTACCGACAACAGCGCGGCGCAGGCACCGTATGTGGTCGGTTCTGCATCGATCGCCGCCAGAAAAAGCACCTCTGCCTTCTTGTCATCACCGCTGGCAAGTGTATGTCTTGCAAGAATATACCTGCATGGTAAGCACCGGGAAGACAGAGTAGGTGTGCTTGAGCATGCATGGCCGTGGGGTATATATTTCAGGCCCTTGCGTCCTGCACTGCTGTTTCAGGAAAAAGTACGACAGGTGCTCGTACCAACAAGGCGACATCGTTTTGGAGCCTAAGCATCAATCCTGCACGTCCCGCTTTGAACGTGTTCACTATCAAAGCAATGTCTTGTAACAGTTCCGCCGTCCTTCGCATACCATGTGCTCGTTTCTGTTTGAGTTGCGACAATGAAGAGTATGATGAATAAGTGAAAGATCGGCTCACACACACGAGATGAGCGGGAACATTACGGGTTTCATTTGCATAAATACACCGCACGAAGGCTTTAGAGCGCGTGGGGGTGATGAAGGACCCTTAGCCAATGAGTGATAGGAAGAAGGCAGGGTGATGCCGACAATGGCGGTCGAAACTCGAAACAAGATTTGACAGAGCGAAACGGATCAAACAGTATCCACACCGCCAGACCCAACCCCGACAAAGAACACATTCCGTCAACCTTCTTGACCACGCACCTTGCCAAGATCCCGGTCTTGGTGTTCGGAGCTGACACGCGCGCCGCCTCTCGTAAATGCCACTCTTTGGCGCCATCCCCACCCCGTTCCTGGGTCTGTGTTCCTTGACCCCGACCGTCACTGGAAGCATGGCCACGAGCTCCGCTCTTGCGCGCCTCCCTGAGGCTAAACCCTGACACCACGAGATGCACATCCCCCAGGACAGTCTGACCTTGACCGCTCATTTTTTTTTTCGTCTCCGCCGAGCTCCTGGCACGTTCAATACCATCATCGTTACTTTCTGGCTCGCCTTCGGCCTGTTCACCAAAATACACGCTTTCCGGCGGCATCGCCCCGCCCGCTGACGAAAACGCGCGAGCGAGGAGCCGTGCTGCTTCGTTCTTATCTTTCTCGGTCGGGAACGTTAGCGGCCGCAAGACCTCATCCCCCGCCGGGACCGAACTTCCCGTCGGGGCCGCGGCCGCTACCTTTGAAACAGTCGGTAGTGGGGCACGCGGGACGTCCGTTTCCGGACGATTTGCTGCTTCAGCGGCTGCGGCAGCGGTTCCCCTGCTATGACCACCCGCATGCCCGTTTCCATCGATGGGAGGGCAAGGCGCCGCTGCCGGCGGGCGGCGGCGGTAATGTGGGGCTAAAAGCAGTTGTGCGAGGCCACAGAGAGAGAGAGGGTCTTCAAGTTCACCATCTTTGATTCGGCTTCCTCTCAAGGTGTCGTAGTTGCCACTAGCACCGCCGGTGGCGGCCCTGCTGGCACGGCGAAATAGGGACATCGCCGACGATCGACGGCCTTGAGAAGCCCGGATCTGTGCGAGTGTCCGGAGCACGTCGTTTGGCACTGCCGATTTGAGGGGGGGGGGGAAAGACGCCCGGTCAGACCAAGGTGTCACCTGTTGATTGAGGCTTGCGTGTGTTGCATACCCATAGTATTCGTTCCTGGCTCAAGGGGAAGTCAACGGGTTATGTAGCTGGCGCAACTTACTGAAGGTCAGCGCCTACGAAAATAGGTAGTTGTTGTTCTGTATCGAGGAAAGAGAAGCGCGGCGGGAACAACACGACCAACAATCAAGCTGGAACAAAGTCGGGAAAGTCTCCACTACCCCCAGGTTTTCCTGCCACACGAAAATGAAGAATTATTTTGCTGGGCATACCTCGAGGACCGGCGCTGTCGACCGCTTTTTCAAGCAATCCTTCCGCTTTACCCACTGCACACCCGCCACCACGTTGTAGCAGCACAAACGCGAGCGCAGTCAGTGTCGGGACGTGGAACGGCTCGAGCTCCATCGCCCTCGCCAAGAGCGTCTCCGTTTGTTTTTCGTCAGCCGCCCGGTTGACCACCGCCGTTTGCGATCTCTCTCGCGCTAGAGTGTCGCCGTTGTTCGAAAGTGAGTTCACTCTCCAGGTGTACAAATAGAGGGCCGCAGTTCGAAGCAGGGCTACGCTCTCTGTTCCCCCCGCCCCCAGGCCTCGTTGCGGTGTGGAAGTGCACAGAGGTGCTGGCAAGGCGTTTAGGAGGAGGCTTCGGGGGGTCTCTTCGTCGTCGCCAGTTTGCTGGTGGAGTTATTGCGGGCGCAGACGAACAGTGCATCACGACCATGTTGGACAGCTTATTCGATAAATTCCCTCGACCTATTCAGAACCCATAGTTTCCACTCTCCCTGTTTCCAAGCGCTCCACACCTTTGAATCTCAGTACGAAGTCCTATGTCTCTGGCTAGCTTGAATCGCATGCATTTGTTGAGTAATCCTCTCCAATCTTGGACTCTGAGTCAAGTTTTTTTCTGAAGAACACATCAAGTATTCCACACAGATTGTCGATGTTCCTGTTTCAAACGTTTTGGTGTAGTGACTCCGATGTTGTGCTTACTACTTTGGGAAGCTAGTCGATACCCAAAGAGTGAGGTGTCGTTTGCAACAAGTGTGAATCCTTGAACAAGCTACCGAGGCCAAGTCTAACCTACAGGCACCGCCCACCTAGTTCAGACAAAGGCGTGCTACGGACGCTTGAATCGGGCATAATCTTAACCGTTCCCCGAAGAATTGGATGATGTCACATTGAATTCACACAAAATTTCATACAAAACCTCTTCCATGTGTGACCAGAAACTATCCCGTCCTTCCCACCAAACACGCTACTCACCTCGTGACTTTCCCCATCGTTGTTGTTCTTGTGCAGGGCGTTTCCCGCTGCGGTAGGTTCCAACATCAAGCGTCTACACAATGCCACTGCTAGCCCTCTGGTGGCGGGAACAAACGGGTGATTGTTGAACTTTGCGGCATCCATTGCTCTCCGAAAGGAAGCAGCGGCCCTCTCCAGGATGTTGAGCCTCAAGCATCGGTCGATACGTTTTTTGCGGTCCTTGTTGTTGACCTCGTCGTTGATGGCGCTGCCTTGGTCGCTGTCGCAGTAGTTGCCGTTGTTGTTGTTGTTGTTGTTGTTGTTGTTGTTGTTGTTGTCGTCGTCGTGGCCGTCGTAGTCGTCGTCGCTATTCACGTTGGTGTTGTTCTCTTTGGAGAGCAAGAGGTGCCCAAGCGCAGTGTGTACTACAGGTTCGTTGAGATATCTGTTAAATTGAACACAAGAACAAACATGCGTGGCACGATAAAATACATCGGTTGCGGTGGTAGATGGAGATGGTGCCAGTTACGCAGGCGATGGTGGCCGACTTCTAACGTCACTATCCAACCTTGACAAACAGTCAGCTAGTAGCTGGTTTGTTCTAGGCGTAGTGCTCCGAGAGTGGTGCTTGCCTGTGGAACATGAGAAGGAGAAATAAGAGAAATGTTATTGTAAAGGGGTTTCAACGCAACCTGTTGATGGGTTTCAGACACTACGGGCGGGCAGAGGGAGCAGATAGCACTCATAAACAGAGTTCGGCCACGGTGGCACGGTTCGGACGGGGAGTTCGAGAGTACACAACAGGCAAGGGGGTGGGGCCTAAAGTTGCCACATTCTCGTCCCGTTTGTCGTCGGGACCATGTATGTTTCTCTTGATGGGTGCATATCCAGAAAGCGACAGCCTACGCTACTCCGCGGATGATGTTGCGTTTTCAGTTACGGCTGTCACGGAGTCATCGTCCTCCCACCAAGTGAACAACTGAATAATGTGTGTGAAGCATCTGGTGCAAGTGACGGTGTGTCGTCACCTCATAGCAGCGTCCATCAAACTTTCTTCGGGTGAAGAGTCCACGTCGCCACCACCCCCAGATGAACCGGCGATGCACTCGGAAAGCTTCGGCCAACGCTGACAAAACTGTGCCCGCGCGACGAGCGTGAAAGGAACAGCTCCCCCCCTGAAGTCCAACTTGACCCCATCCCCTATTGTTCCGCCGTTAGGATTCAGGCCCCTCCTTGATCGGTACTGTCCCAGTCGACCCGGCAATGAAGCCGCAGCTGCAGCAGCTCTGTTGAGGGCGAACAGAGCCAACTGCGGGTCTTTCAAACAACGTTCAGCGAACTTGGCGTAAAATAACCACAACAACCATATCCCACGGCCGCCGCCACCGCCGCCGCCATGTCTGGCGGCGCCAACAGAGCTGCTTCTGGGTGTTGCGTCGTATTTGATCGGGGTGTTGTGACCGGCGTGGTTAGTGGTGGCCGTCGCCCCGACAGAGGCGCTCGCGCCCTTTCCTCGGATCCGGGTTGGCGTCAACGTGGGTGAAGAGGGTGGTGCCGCCGATGCTTTTGGTCTTACATTTCCGCCGACGGTATTGAGAGTGGGTGTCCGGGAGCGTGTGACGTGGCCATAGCCGTTGAAGTTTAGTACAGAGCGGAGAAGAGAGTCGATTTTCATAGTGGCCCTGTGGCAAGAACGGTTTCCAGAAGAAAGAAGCGGGGAGGGTGGGGGGGAGTTGCGGTCAATCAACAACCGTGCCAAGGCGGGAACAGACTCCTTCGTACAAATTTTCTACGGCATGCTTTCCCAATCAAAGTCGGAAAAAATGTGCAGGGACGGGGGACCTGGCGTACCGGCACAGACTTACGAGACTGAAAATTTCGTGGGTGCGTTTGCGTTGGGGAATGTTTGAAGGGAAAACAATTTTGGTGCAGGTTCGCGCAATAACATTAGGATCTGTCGTTTTGGGCATTGACTATCACCAAAATCCACACTCTGGCACCCACCTATAGTACTAGCGAACATTTACCTGGACGGAGGTCGCCCGTCCTTGAAAGGTCCGAGTTGCTCCAGCATGCAAACAGCCAGATGCACCTGCGAGGCCCGTTGTGAAGTGTTAAAGTCATCATCAAACCGCGCTCAGTAAAGGTAGCGCGCTGTGCACAAGGGTGCCTTCCCCATATGTTCGCCCACTACAGCATATGCACGCCGTTTTCACGATGAAATTGAGGTAGGATGGGTTGACTGGGCGGAACCCCTCACGGCGATGTTTCTAGCAAGTGCCCGCAAGGCTCGTGGATGTCACGGCGACTGCTTTGACGTGGTTCTACTTCAGCGCCTTCGGTGTGGAAAAACGGGGAGAGCCAACAGCTGCTAGTTGATCACCCCATTCCTGCTGATGCATGCGCGAAGGAGTAACCTTGTCTCGGCTCAGGATCGCTGCAGGTTAGAGCTACATGAGGTTTCTCCAAAAGTTGGGACAACAGAGTTGTGCTCCCGAAGTATTCCATGGAGGCATGGACGTGTTTAACGTACAAAGTGCCTTAAGCCATGTAGTGCAAATGTTTTTCACTGGGAACCAAAAACAAATTGTTTAGGGCTGCATAAGTGCAGCGTTGTTCCCCCAACCGATTCGTCGGCTTCGAAGGCAGCCAACTGCCGTTGAAAAATTGGCTCAGGTTGGTTCTAGCGAGAGCTTTCCGAAACGAACCGTTCACTTTCGGGTGCCGACCCTGTTCAAAAACAGGGCGTGGGAATACAGCACAGTACCCCAGAGCGAGCCTCAAGAACTCAACACTAGCATGAAACCGGAATGGCTCAGTTGACGACGTACTATGTTCCGCTAATTGCTTCGACCGATCGTTCGCATGCGCGCATGACGAACGTTTTGTCTGTCGGACACTAAGCTGGTCTTTTACCCCTTCGAAGCATTCTGTGAGCCCTTCGTGGTGTTATTTCTATGGAACATGTTCGGACGCCAAACATGGGGCGAAGAGGGACGGGGGGGGCTATTTAACAACGAAGCAAAAAATATGTACACGTAATACCTTTGCGGAAGCATGCCAAGGACTCTCCCGTAGGCAGGCCCTGAAGAATGCTGACGCCCTCTTTATGCTTCGGTTATGGACTAGCTCGAAGCGGCCGAGCTCTAGCAGAATCTCCCCCCTCGGTTGCCATGATTTGTCGAAAGTCTCCGATGAAGATTGCGGCGACGTGGTGGAATCCACCCCTCCTTGTGGCGCGGCAGTAGCGGTAGCTTTCCGGGGTAGGGACTGTGCCACGCGCTGCTGTTCCAGGTTCGTCCAGTCCAGGCAGCTCAGAACTTTGCGAAAGCATGTCTTTCATGCGTTTATACGCGTACGGGGCAGGGGTTCAAGGTTTGCACAGCGTGAAAACGGCTCGTGCGGTTGGTGCACGATACTCACAGAAGGGAAGAGCGCAAGTACAACATACACTCCCCTTGGCACGCTACAGTATTGTCCCCCGATAGTTCCAGGGCGTGTTGATTCTACACCCATTGACGTCTCAACAAGCAACGTCCGGGTTCTTGTGTTGTCTTCTTCTCACCAACGTATCCGTTGCCCTCGCCGAGGACGGCGTTCTCTCTGCATAAAACTTCATCAGAGTAAGCCAATCTTCAGCCGCCCCAACCCCAGCCGTCTTCCCTCCCCTCTCTCCTCCCTTCGCTGCATGGTCGCGGCCGCCCGAGAGAGACGTAGCTCTCGTGAGGTACCTCTCGGCCACACTTAGCTCACCCTGTCGCCTCAGCATGTGCAATACACGGGTTGTTGGAACTTTCAATTTGTCTGGTCATTGGAGTCCATCATATATTTAAGTTCCGGTGCTACAAACGGGCAGTCGGATAGGCCGACAAGCTCGTTGGCCATGAGCTAAGCTAGTTATTCGAAAGGCAAATGGCCTCCCATAAACGCCTGCTTTTGCGAAACGCGAGTTGTTCGAGACTATATCTTCCTATACGCTTGTGTTGGACCCTTTTCCGCGTTGAGCACCTACAGAAGAAAACAAATAATAATTTATTGGGGACACACCCAGCTCGGAAACTACGGAGAGTACAACAAGTTAGAGAATCAACCTTGGTAATACACAGCTAGAAGGTGAACCGAAAACAGGTTAGGTTGGTCGACGATGGGTAAACACCATTCCAGCTCTCAAAGGGCGATGCTTCAATGAACACCCCGCACCTTTCGCGCCGCCAGTCTACCATAGCTTGACAGGGCTGGTTTGTAGTCGGGGTCATGCAAAAGGCACCCCAAGAGAATGATTTCCGCCGACCGGAAGTCTAAGAGGTATTCAAACACTTCGCTGGCCGACACCAGAACCGCGGGGCTGCTCAATAATCGGTTTATTGACGCACGTGCAGCAGGTAGAGGGAAAAAAAAAGGAAGAATAAACGTCCGTAGTACCAGCAGTTGACGATATACTGTAGGCTGAGAAACTGGGTCAAGTGAGGTCTCAGGTTTGGAACGTTGTTGGTGCCGTTGTTGCCGTCGTTGAAGGCGGTGCCGTTCAACATCATTTTGACCGCTCGTAGGGATTCCAGGATCTCGTCGTGCTTAGCTTCGAGACTCCCAGTATAACGTAGTTCTTCTTTGGATACAACGGCACACACTGTCGAAGTAGAGCCGTAACCTGTGCCGACCAACTACCCCATCCCCAACGAGAAGTGATGTTTCCAATAATTCGCAGGTGTGAACAAATAATTATGGCAAGCAGCGTCATAGTCAGCTGTTCCCTGATAGATAGAAAGGGGTGCGTTTGCTACAGCAACGTAGGAAGAGTGTACCTCGTGTCGCGACCAGCTTTGGTGCTGTTGTCCGTGACGGTTCGCACAGCCTCTTTGACATGTCGCACGGCCTGCGGGTAGCGGCCGGTGGCGACGGCAAGACGGCCAGCCACGACAAGCAGCTGCCCGCGTAGGCCGGTCGGCAAGGCGGGCAGGGGAGAAAACGACCACGACGAAGGCGGCGTGGCTGGTCTGCTTTTGCCTTCGTTGCCTCTGTTGCTGTTGCCGTAGTTGCCTCTGTTGTCTTTTCCGCTGATGCCGTCGCGCTCCGAGGTAGTGAACGAGGAGAGTATATGAAGGATGACCTTGTTTTGAGGAAATTCAAGCGGGCAGACATTGGGATAGTTGACGCCACGGGTGACAGCAAAAATAATCACGTATCGACACGCCAGGGGTAGAATGGGTTCCACTGGCGAAGTACGAGCGTGAACGAGTCAACGGGAGCAGTCAAAAAGCGCCCGGCCAGTATGATGGAAAAAAAGAGCCGCGGAGAAAACCTATCACTTCCCCCCTTCATTTCACGTAGAGAGACAGAAACTTGGACACAGTAGTCCATCGCAACCGAATGATCCATACATCGCAAGGCATGACAACTGGTTTTCACACAGACACACACCGAGGCACGGGGCTGTCGCCCCCCGTTCCCTGCCTCACCTCGTACGCCTCTCGAAGGAGTTCGTTCTCCGTCAGGAACTGCGCGAACCGGCAAAGTCGAGCCAACTCCAACGGGTACTTGTCGACGCCGTGAAGGTGAGCCGAGAAGGCAGCGGCCACGGCATCAGGCTTCGGGGGCGGCTTCGCGCCCACCTTACTACCCCGCCGTTCAAGACCCGGTACTACAGCTCCCGATTGCATCAAGCCTGCCGCCCCCCGCCTGCATCGAACTGACCCTGTGGCGGGCGTGTCCTCCTCGACGGATCCCGGTGTGGAAACTGGTGGGAGCAAACCGGGTCTCGGGCAGTTTTTCCCGCCTGCGTTTTCCGAAGGCGACGGCCACGACATCGCAGCCCCACCGTAGCTGGCACCCGCATCGTCACCGTTCCTCACCCTTAAACCGGTTGTGCCCACCACTGCCGATGGAGGTGATTGTGCCTCTTCTGCACCCTCAGTAGAAGCGACACGTTCGAGACTCATGTTGTAGGCGTCGTTTCCCCTCCCGTCGTTTGCATTGTCCTGATTGGGGTCGTCTGTGGACGTTGGTGTTATCGTATTATTTTCCCATTCGGGTGACCCGATCCGCGGGCTGCCTTGCCAGCGACGGTCGCAGCAGAACGGGTTGGTTTCGTTCCCCCAGCTAGACTGCTCCCGCACGACCGGAAACTTCTGGCGTAGATCTTCGAGCAGCTCCTGGCGAGACGATACGCGAAAGCAGTTGTCGAGAGGGAATTTTATCGCGTTGGCGGCGTGTGGTCAGATCTGCGAGTACCCTACCTGCCCACACCGGTTTTCGTCATATGTATGCGAGATCAAGGGGAATGGTTCCCGTGGTATATGGAATCCCATGTGCGAGGTAAGACCCTCGGCTGCCTAACGCACGTCAAACACAATTGTTTCGTTGAAACAATCCGGGTGGGACTCCCAGGAAACACATACCTGACATATTCGACAACGACTTCGTTGAGGAGCGATGCCTTCAACTGCCTCGCCACCTGATGGCGTAGATGCTGCCTCCGTCCGCTGCCCGCACAACTATGCACACGTGGAGAGCAACCCGAAAACGAGGAAGAGGTTACCGGTATTTTGGTGGAAATGTACCCCGAAAGCAGATGGGACGATTGGGAAACAACTACAACACGGGTTCACGGTAGCCATTTGGATGAATCTACGGCTCGTTACGCACATCTACGCGTCTCCCGCGGGTCGCAAACAGGTGGGGAGACTTAAACAATAAACCGATGACGTGAGCGCGTGCTCCGCGAGATCTTTCCTAAGACGATGACTGTCATAACGCGGTCTAAGAGTCGAAGGAACGCAATTGATGCCACGAGCGTGTGTACGGAAGTGACGAAAACGGTATGCGCGCATGGGGGATGCCTCTTTCAGTTTTTTTTTGTGGGGAATAGGAAATTTTCTTCCGCACCTGCGAGTCCGAGAAAACGAAACGGCCCACAACATCCAGCAGCTCCGCAATGTGGGCTGAAGACACCGTTGCCTCTCTCGCACAGGATAGCCGCGCGTCCAGAGCGCGCTCTACCCTCTCGAGGGCGTTCAAAGAGGCCCCGATCCTCAGCTGCCTCCCGACGTGCACCGCCCGGAATGCATCTGTCTCCCCGATAATACGCCGTCTTCTAGCGGCCACCCCGGCGTTGTACCGCCTGGCCAAGCGTTGGCCTAGGGGTGTCAAAGGACCGAAAGCATCAGTTCGCCGCCTCTTTCCCCTGACCTGATCGATGCCACCACAACCACCCCACATCCCGATAGGTTTACCCGAGTTTCCTTTCTTCCGGAGAAAAGCTGAGCGTTGTTGTTCCTGCTTGTGACGAGTCTGTAGGCTAACGGCACGGGAAGACAGCAGCCACGGTCGGCCAAGACCGGCAAGGGAAGCGTCCTGTGCCTCCACCCGCAGTCTCTGCCGAAGGGCTTCCGGCGAGGACAGCCTGCGAAAACCACCGGTGCCTTCGCGGCCGGCGGAGGTCCCAGGAATAGCGGAGGGGCGCGACCTTGGCAAAGAATCGCTCGATGTTGCAGTCGACGCAATCAGACGGGAAGAAGAAGGCGGTGGCGGGGGTGGCGAGAAGGCTGTTAAGACGTCGGATGCTCGGAGGCAGAATACCGACGACGCCGAGTTCAGGCGAGCGGCCACCTCAGGGTCAAGCTTTGTGAAAGGGCCCTTCGAGGCAGGAACACCGGGCGCCCTCTCGCTGCTGTCGCGAGGTTTCCTCCTCAATGAGCCGCTGCTAGGAGGAGGGAGGGTGTACAACGATGGAGCCCGCGCGCGCAAAGGCACGGGTGGGAATGTGGGCCAGTCGTAGTCCGGGCAGTCTTCCGATGATTCTGGCTCGGTGTCGTCACCGTCGTTGTCCGAATCGCCGTCCACTCCGTCTGCTTTGTCAATATCTTCGTCCGAACCGCTGTCTCCTGCGTTTTCCCCCAGATCCGACACGGAAGGTGCCGCTGATCCATCGTCGCTACTACCGCCACGAACAACATCGACTCCGGTTCCGCCGAGTAGGAAATTATCAACCTCCCGTCGCAGGGACCGTAATGCCACGACGAACCAGTCAGCGGTAGCTCTACTTCTGCTGCTGCCGGCGTTGCAGAGTTCGCCCGACGAGTTGGCTGCAGATGGTAAGACCGGCACAACTGTTGCCCTCTCTGTCGACAAACCGCCGGGAACTATTCCTAGCCTACCCTGTCTTCGACGCCGCCTAAGAAATGACTGTATTCGTGACGCAGCGGCGATTTCCTCCTCCTGGGCTGCCATCTCGATAGCCATGCTTGAGCCAGCGACACTGACTGCTGCTGGAGGTAAGGACGGCCCCCTTGGTCCAAACTCGTCGCCGGTCCCGGCTGCTAGGCCGTTGGGTACAATACTAGCTGTTTCCGGGGCGATTACAACGACGTCATGCTCGTTATCATTGTGTCCAACAACAACGGCAGCCGCATTGGCGGGTCCCTTACCCCTGCTGTCGCCCTCGTCTCCGCGGTCGATTTCTGAAATACAATTGATTTCCTCAAGCTTTCCACAATGCGTCCTGCCCAAGGGGTTATGGTCATGAGTGCTTGAACTACGAGACAAGGCGTATTCTCGCGGGATCGGCTTTTCGGCCTCGGCGTCCGCAATGAGCTGTGCCCCAGCGTCGCCCAGAGCCAGCGAGGCAGCGGCCTGGCCCGAAGCTATAAGTCTTAACTCATCGGCGAGCCTGCCCGCCTGACTCCCCCTGCAGTTCGCAGCAAGATAAGTTTGAAACGACACGCCACAAGGAAATCCAGCAGACAGTCGATCAGTTGCGTGTGTGTTGTGTTCGTGCAGGGCTCTTCGGTCGCGCTTGGAATACAGATTAAGGGTGAAATGCGAACATGTCGATGGGTCTGTGTGTTGGGCCAGTCGAGCAGATCACCAAGGCGCGAGAGTCCTTCAAAGTTCTGAGAAAGAAACGTAACCGTTTAAGACCCCACATCCGACGGCATCAAGCGCACCAACGCACAAGAACACGCGCCACAGCTTTCATTATGTTCCCGCACTCACTCAGAACATCTTGCACCTGTTGTACATGTCAACTCTACCTTGTAACCCAACAAATACCTGCGGATGGCTTGAGCGCGTGCGGCGGCGACGCTCCCGATGTCGACCCCACTCCGGAGTTCTTTCACCACGGCGGCAGCAAGCCTACCAAGCCGGCCCTGTGCCGTTTCGGTCGTCGTAGTTTCCTTCATACTGGCTTCGCTCATGTTCGTCTCGGCCGCGGCGTTAGAAACCGTAGCGGCAGAACCGCTGACAGCAGTTTTACTCCCGTTGTCGATGGTGGCGTTCTGCACATTGTTGATCGAATGCGGGTTATCTTCTCCTGCGTGGCTGTTGAAAACAGCCCCGCTCGCCGTCAGAATGAATTGCTGAACCTGTCCAATTTTTCGGGCAGTGGCATCGTATCACAAGGATAGAGTAGACAAAACTTAGGCCGGTCGCTGAGCGGATTTGACGATAGGATAGCCGTTGTACAATTTCGTTTCAACACGCGGGGGAGGGCGTATCCTGAGATGAACTTCGTGCTGAGGGGAGTTTATCTGTGTTCCCATGGCTCGTACACCATCACCCCTTGGACGCTGACCCCTAACAGGGCGGGCTGTGAAGCAGTGCTCGCCCACAATAAGGAAAATATGGCAACTACAAGCTAGAAAGGGTTGAAATTGCGTTGGAAAAGCTGCTCGGGAGGAATGGTCCTAAGCCTCAATTATATATATCATGAGAAAGCCTGCACTCGTACCCGATATGCCAGCTTTTCTTGCACCAGGGTTAGTCGCCGGATGTCGTCGGCAACAAACCTCGCAGTTGCGGGGTCCGGAGCCACCTGGCACAAAGAATGGAGCACCAGTGTTCACGGCAACCGGTGGAAGCCTCGCGAATTACCCCTTGCCAGGACACACTTGCTCTTGAACACGATTTCTATTCGTGAACACCACGTTATCGGCGTCGTTTAGGGTCATCGGAGAAACCGATGTGTTGTGTTTGTGGCATAATATTTACCATATCACCATTTATCAAGTACCAGTCGTGGACGCAACCATTGTTTCTCAATGCCATTCATTCTAAACTAGCAGAAGCACCTCCATTCTCGCGGCCGTATGCTGGTGCCTAGCCGCCACCAGCTTCGCGTCCTCCGCCAGCGACTCCGCGAGGCGACCTATTCTTCCCTTCCGTGCGGCTCGTGCCTCTATCCGTGCGTCGATCTGGTCGGTTTTGACAAGAGGGCCGAAACTTTGGTGCGTCGTTTGCATAAAACGCGGCATCTGAATAATAGGTTATAGTGTTTCGTGGTACCCGAGCCTGTTGCCAATCAATACAGTCCAGCCTAAATTAACAGCATGAATAACTCCCAACCAGGTTACAAGGGCGGGCGAAATGACCCACGTGCCTTGGTTTCCGTGGATCTTACCCGCGAATGATCCGTGCGTTCGACAACCTCCTCCATCAGTCCGACGGCCTTCGCCTGCAGCCCCACCGAAGGCCCGAGCACCGCCAGCGCCTCGAGCACCTTCGGAAACTTCCGGTGAAATGTTCGCGGATCTGCCGGCAGGGTACCCCTCGCATCTTCCGACGAAGGCTCCTGGAGAACCTCGCTCGCCACCTCGCTTTGCCGTGACGCGAGCCGGCTGACGTCCGACGCGAGCACATGTGCAGCTCCACTCGTGGTGGTGTCGCAGGTGTCTGTGAATGCGCTGGTGCGTTTTATCGGTGCACGTTGCTTTGGGTTGCTTCGCTCGGCGGCGTCGTTGTCCCTCGACCGACTCCGTTTGCGCGCATCGCCTGTTCTATCACCCTGGGAGAAATCCCACGCACCTTGCAGCTCATCTTGGCGTATCGTGGGCGGTCGGTCGGACTTTTTCCGATCTTCTTTATCCTTGTCTCGGTTGTCAGCATCGTACATATGGGATTTGCCCTTTCTGCGACCGCCTTCTTCCCCATCTTCTGTCGTTAAGTCGCTACTCGGTTGGGGTGGGTTGTGGCTCATACCAACAGGTGGGATCTCATCCGCTTTGACCTCCTGTGTGAGGCAAGGCGAGGTTTCTACCACACCTATCTCGAGTGGTGAAGCACCTGAAGCGGTCGTACTCGAGTCGTCATCGCCATCATCTACCGCGATGGAGTGCCGTATGGCCTCTCTGAAACTCGCCGCAGCTTGTGCTTGCTGAGCAGCGAGATCCCTGTTTTACCGTCGCGAGAGTGTGTGGCAGATTAGACGGAATCCGATATTTCGTCTACTGGGTTGACAAGCGTACATAAAGAACGGAGGAGTTGGCACTTGAAGAATAGATGTCGTGTACGACTTGTTGTTGGACAGGTAGGCGAGTTGGGAGACGGTAGTAGGACCAGGATATGGCTGGTTCATCTTATATACGATTGGATAGTTCGAAAGAATTCTACCAAGAAGGACGTCTGTGGCCGTAGATGAATAAAGCCATCCGGGAATTACGACAGAGGCACCCATCCCCTGCTGCTGGTGCTGCTCCCTCGCCACCACCTGCAGCAGCGATTCCATTGCTGTATTCACCTGACAAGACTAATATACGATTGGCAGTGCCCCAAACCCTTTGACGTTAGTTTGAGAGCCGGAGACACCCACATGAACTGAACATACATACGTGAGCGCGTTTTGACGCCGCCTGGGCGCGCGCATGCATGCCGTGCCTGATTCTGATTGCTTCGCGCTTAGATGCGTCCGTCCCGGCGGCAGTCATGGTCGCTCGAGCAGCGGCCTGCGCCTGTGCCACCACCAGGGTGCGTAGCTCCTCAAGACTTTCCAGCGGGGCCGTCGTATCGAGATAGATTCCTTTTCTGGCCTTTTCCTCCTCGGCCTCATGCTCTAAGCTTTCCATTTCCTCCCCTTCGTAATCGAGTTCGCCGCCATTTGTTCGTGAAATGTTGCCCTCGCTCTGTATGTCCATTTCACGGTCCACGCCAGCACTTCCGCCAGCTGTCTTGTCGTCACCAAAGGTCGTTTTTGGAGGTTGTTGTTGTTGTTGTTGTTGCTGTTGTGCCTCCTCTTCCTCCGTCCTGACGGAATGTTGACGCAAGTAACCGTCTTCGGACGAAGATCCGCTGTGGTCATCATCGCCTTCTGAAGCCGTTAAATCTGACGGAATTCCTCCCTCCCCGGAAGTCCTTTCCGAACTCATAGTTGTTCGACTACTGTTGTGTATTCTTTCGTCCGAATCATTGTCGTCCGTGTCCGTGACATCTTCTGTGCTCTCTTCATGGTCAAAACCATAGTAGGCATTGTCGGAAGCACTGCGCCCATCCTCTGAAGCGTCGGCATCTTGTTGTCGCTCAGACCCCTTGGGAGAAGAAACAGCAGTATCGTAGTCGTTGCCGGGTGGCCCATCACCATCCGAGGATAGAACCTCGGGGTTAGGCTCTTCCGGTGTTGCTCCTCCTCCGCCCCATAGGTATCCGTTTCGCTGATATCCTTCCTCGTCAATTGTTCCCAGAGGTTCCGACTCGTACCCCGTTCCCATGCCACCGTAGGCATCAATTCCCACCGGAGATCTGTCACGGTCTAGCTCGGAAGAGTGCTCGTGTTCGCTCAAGGCATAGGTATGGCCATCTTCTCGAGATGGCGACCCTTCTTCCGAAGTCCTGTTATTATTGCTGTCAATGAGATCGGCGCGATCGTTCCATCCGTTCGCGCTCGCCTCTCCGTCAACGCTCCCATCGTACGTTTCAGCCTCTTCTTGACCACCACCGGTAGTTGACTTCGCCGTCGTTTCTTCTGGGACAGAGCACGGTGATTGTGCTATGTCTTCGACGTTGCACTCTTGCTTCGACTGAAGAAGAACTACCGTGCCCTGAATGTTGTACACGTCGTCAAGATCATCCATTCCGTTGGACGTTGTGATACGCTCCCTTTCGTTTTCGTCGCTCTTGCTATCGCTCCCTTTGAGCATGTTCCGCGAGTGTTGGCTGTCTCGCTGTGCTTGCCATAGTAGCGCTTCTCTCCTTCCCATGCGACCCCGTACCACCGCTTGGATCGTCGTGGCCGCTCGTTGCTTTGCTTCCCGTTCTTCTCGTCGCCTAGTATCGCCACGCTCGACTAGCCTTGAATATAACCGCCTCGCCGCCCAGCCCCTGGCTTGCGCCTGGAGCTTCACGATCGCGGCACATTGTCGCCTGCGCAGCATGCCCGCTTGCAGGCGCTGAAGAGCTACCGTTGCGGCAGCCACGTCGTCAAAAGAGAGTCTAGATGGCTGTTTCGCGGCGGAAGGGACGACGTGTAAGCTTTCGTCGTCTCCGTCCAGCACATCCTCAACGGGTGACGCGTCGCTCGTGCTGGACGGTTCTGAGGCTACTTTAATGGGTCCAAGGTCGGGTGCGGACAACTTCCCCGCTGGTCTCTCCTTGTGAAGCACCCCTGCAGTTCCTTCATTGCCGCTGGAAGTAACAGGCTCCCCAGGTGGACTTGATCGCCGTCGTAGATCGTCAGACTCGTCGAAGTCCTGCGCTGTAGAGACGTTGCCTGCGTCTCCTTCCGTCCCATCTTCTTCTGCCAAACGCGATGTTGACTCGGCCTCACTACCGGGACGTTCTTCTTGCGGCGGGGAATGCTGCTGACCGATAGATGTTCCTTGTTCTTTCGCGTCGAGGTCGTCAGCAGATGGCAAAGGTGCCGTTGCCTGGCCTAGACTATCGACCGAAACAACCGACATTAGCGGTTGCCTGACGCTCTGGACACTGCTAGAAACGCTGCTGTTGGCCGTGGTTTCTGTGGTCTGGTCCTGTTGTTGTTCTTCCACGGCACAGGGTTCTTCCTTGATTGAATCGCCTGCATCAACACCCGACGAAGGCGTTTCCGTGCTTTGTTCAGCGATGGATGCATGCCTAGAAGAAGTCGAGTGTTTGGAGGTCTCCTCGTCCGAATTCTTCCTTTCCGACCCTGTACCTGTGTGATTGTTTCCCCCAGACGATTCTGTGTCCGTGAAATGCGATGCTTCTTCGATGTCTGCGGGACTCGCTGATTCTCTGTCCTCACTGGGGACTTCGATGCTAACAACTGCTCCTCTGTCGAGCGTGGACGAGTGACCAGTGACATATTTCGCCAGAGAGTCAAGCTCCCCGCCGTACGTGGACAAAGTGGAGTTCGAGCCTACCCTCTGCAGAAACGGGTCCGGACTCGACGTACTGGTGTTTCCGCCGCCACTATTGTCGTGAGCCTGTCCATTTGCAGGAACCTCCTCCCCTGTTCCCGCCAACTTCGACACGTCGTCGGTTTCAACGACTCTGGGCGTCTCAAGCGCATCACTCCTTTGGTCAGTAGAACCACCGGTTGCTAACGCGTTGCGATCCTCATTTTCGTTTTCGCCCGGTGCACCTGTCGCAGCCTCCGCGCCAACAACCGCTGAGGTTTCCATCTGCGGGTCTTGGACCGTATCTCCGTCGTCAGGTGCCTGACAGCGATCAATCTCCGGTGGTTTGTCCCACTGCGTCGCCCCGGTGTCCTCGTTCACGTAGTACGTGCTACCCGTGTTGGTGTCCACGAGGTTACGCCACCTTTCTTTGGCTCTCAGCAAGGCTGGTACCACTCCGACCAAGGAGGTCTCCGCTTGGTGGGCCTGATGATATGGGCTCGGGGTCAAAATTGCCTTGGTAGGGCTATCAAGAACAGTTTCTGTCGATAGCGTGATTTCCTCAGGTGATGGTTGTTCCCACTGGGACACACCGGTGGCTTCGTCAACATAGTATGTGCTACCTGTGTTACTGTCCACGAGCGCCCGCCACTTTCTTTTTGCCCGGATCAGAGCTGGTGCTAAACTGACCAACGACGTGCCCTCTCGTTGCATCTTCGCCTGAAGGGTTGAGGGGTTCGCACTACTCGAGTCCAAATGTGACGGGGTGGTGATGCTATCCGGAGAAGTATCCGCGTTGGCATCAGCACCAGCCGTAGGTATGTCTGCTGGCCGTTCCCACCGGGATTCGAGGGTGACGGTGTTGTGGTAGAACGTCGTGCCGGTTTGCGGGTCAGTTTCTTCTTTCCACGCGCCTGTATATCCAAAACAGGCAGGCACAAGAAGAGACTCAGAAAGCGAATGTTATACCGACGAAAGACGCTTCACGGTCAAACTTTAGAAATGATTCGCGGGCGTCATGTGCTCGTTTCGATTTCCACCATCCATTGTTCGACATGAATGAGTGCATGTTCGAAAACGAAAACGATAATGATTACAAGGAGGGACGGCTGGCCCTTTTGCTTTGCTACCCGATACAAGCGCAGTGCGTGATATGCCAAGAGTCCCCCAAGATTCAGAGTAGAACATCTAGCCTAGTCTAGACTGTAGTCTGGATAGTCGTTGGGTAACTTGCAAGAGAATCCTCTCGTAGCTCTTGCGGTGATGTGTACGTAGCACTTACTTACGGATACGCTGGATGAACCAAGCGGTGCCCCTTTGAGGGTTGACTACAGCGAGAGAGTTTCGTACAACTCTATAGGCCTACGTCCATACAAGTTTTTTTTTGGTCTATTTCGGGTAGCCCGAGGGAGCACGAAAGAAAGAAAAGTCTCAATCTACAGAAGAAGTTGGTACATTCAGTTCCAGAAGGCCTCGAAGATTGTATATTTTCTGCTGTAGCTTTGCTACAAAGCGTCGATAGTATGTAGAATGAATACTCCAATTTTCTGTAGTGTCTAGCCTACTCCAACGCATAATATGTAGCCTACAAACAATACCTTCATTAAGATCGGGTTCTTGTACACATGTCCGGGCGTAGACAGACGTCGTGAACAACAACAGAGAGAGAGCGAAAAGAGAGATAATCTCTGTGCAATAAATGCAGACCACCTTCTCCGCCTCCGCCCAGGGAGTACAACATACATTATGAATTACTGGTACAGTATTCTGCGATCTCTTGGCCCACCTCTTGTTGTTCTTGTTGAAAAATTGTCTCCCATTGCGTCGCCATTTGAGTCGTTTTCCGTGCCCTCCTGTCTGACCAAGGCCGATGGTATCGTGGGCAGTGAAATCTGGTAGGATCGGTTGGAGGAGAGGTAGTCTTCTTCATCATCGTCTGCCATTCTCATGTCACTATGTTGTTGTCCTGTTGTTGGTCACTTCAGCAGCGTCTTGTACCGTGTGCCCCGTGTACAGCAGTACAGAAGGAGAGTCTCGATGGCACTCCGATTCTTGGTGTCTCATATCCACGGAGGGCGCACTCTATTACAGTAGGCTCCACGTCCTCCGGCTTGTGTCACATCCCGCTGAGGCCCCCTCCTCCAAGGTGTGGTGTTGTGTGCATGTGGTGCATACGTACGTCTATCCGTCCAATATCTACTCTGCTGTTCGGTCTTTCGCTGGAAAGAGAACCAAGAACAAATGGATCTTTGCAAAGATCCACCGTTGAAATTGTTTTTTGGCGGGCGTTTCACTCACCCCGTACCCCCTACGCATGCTGCTTCCCCCGAACCTATGAACGCCCTTGTTCCATATCTCCACATCTTTTGTGCATTTGCGCTCTGCAGAGACCCATCAACCATGCAACAACCAGCAGCACCAACACACCGTCGACCATCTTCCTACTCTCTGTATCTGCCCTTTGTACCCTAAGCCGCAATATCCTCGCGTAAACCACACCACCCCGCAGCAGCGCGCCCGAAGCAGCTTGACTGAAACAGACACGAACATCAACCCGACCACAGCCAGCCGCATGCGGAAATCTTTTCAAGTAAAAATCTTTGGTCGTCCTGGATCCTGACCATCCGCTATCAGTTTAAATGCGATATTCCACGGTTCCCTAGCGTATGCGTTCAGTATGGATGGCTCTTTCTGGTCGTTTGATTCACACGTCTTGCTGTTCGCCACCGCCTCGATCATTTTTCGATATGCCGTGATCTTCACGAAAATAACAAAGTAACTCACCATCTCACTCTCTCGCCGGCATATAGAATGCCGGCCGCCTCGTAAGAATGCGTACAGCAATTAGCGCATGGTGCAACGCCTTGAGGTATCTCAACGACTGAGCATAGAGAGACCCTTCTCTTAGATACCACATAGTAGGAGTTAGTGTGGTGTATAGAAGCCGAAATCAAGTCGTTGTCTAATGGTTTGATTTCGGCTTCTGTAGGTGCCTGCGGCTGAGCCAATTTCTCGCGCCATTTTCAGTTTTCAATCGGAGCTTCTCTCACAGCTAGCCCGAGACTACAAAAAGTAAAGTTGTCGGGCTGTTGTGTGGCACTTTCTGGAATACGTGTAGTCTATTTTGTTTCTGGGACCCCTTGGTACAGGTTTCGAGAAAGATCCAATGCATGAAATTACCTGAAAATATATCCAGACGATTCGGGCTATCATGTATGTGCACTTTGTTTCGGTTAGAAGAGCGCGAGAGGTTGGGCTCAACGAGTTGTACTGTTCGGAGGTCGCGCATGTGCAACTCCGCCATATAGTCTAGACATAATTGCTGGGAAAAATCGTAAATAATACGTATTTCGGCATCTCGGCGCGTGCGCACCAGCGCTTCACAGCAGTTAGTCCGGCGTGCGACACGGTACTTATTACACGCACACGGTGAACGCACAATCGAGAGACACCACTTCCCACCCCCCAAGAAGTTCAACCGGCTTGGGGCTTCGATACTGTTCGACTCAGAACTCCAATGATGATTGAATCGCTGGCGATAGCAGCGTGTGACCCCTCCCAAGACGCGCTGATCCCCAAGCAAAACTCCGTTTGGCAGAAGATGCACGGCAACATTTCTGCATCCATGGTAGTCCACGCGAATCCTGAAGCCGAAGTCCCGCACCCCAGTCACGAATCATTCGTTTCGCCCGCAAGGCTACATACATATTTCCCAAATAGAACAAGACTCAAGCAACATGCTCAAATGTGAATGCCTTTGGAATTCGTTGTATATATTTCGGTACAAAGCAACAAGACCAAGCGAAGATGCTGGTTCAGCGCTTTTTCTCGGCTGCAAGCATGGTCGTAGCCTCTCGTACTATCGCAGCCCCAGCTTGATCCACCTCTTTCCGCGTGGTATGCCTGTAGCAAACGCGAACGGCAGTGCGAACAGGTTGAGGAATGCAGAACGATGACAGTAAAATATACATACCTTAGGCGGAAACGCTCGGTTGAGAGGGAAAAGAGACGGAGAGAAGAAGAATAGAGAGGAAGTGCGAGAGGTTGGGTGAGGCAAAAAGAAGGAGGGGAGATACGGCGCACTACTACTGTGTCGCTTGCTGTACTGTATGTAGCGACGGTCCTGCACACCAAATGAGAAGGAGCACCGTTTCGTTTCGACAAAGAGACGAAAGACGATGTTTTGCCCCTCTGGCTTCTATAGCGACATTCCAGCAGTAATGAACCCCACCTGCTACTGAATGAGCCCCGAAGGCTTTCGTCGCGTATTTCAGCGGGGTGGTGGGGCGGAGAGAACAATGGGACGAAACCGATGTTATCAGGCGGTCATTTAATAACAGAAAGCAAGACGTGTCTCCAAAAATGAGTGTGCTGTAGGCATGCAGGATGATCTGTCGTTCTTCCAGCTCCAAACCAGGAATTCGCGCGCGTGCTAACAATGCATCGCTTCATCTCCAGATTGCAACGGAGAACCTACGAAAGTTCTTAAACCACCCAATACTGCTCAGCAATGCCGTGGCATACCTCCCAACGGATAGCCTAAGGGTGCCAAATCCCGTCGGCTCATCCACGCCCATCGCTTGCAATACCCCAGACATGGTCGCCTCGCCGGCGTGGCATGCCGAACCCGCGGACGCCGCCACCGTTTCTGACAACTATGCATTACAGAGTACAAAACGTGACACACCACGGACGTGCGCGAATCAGTCAAGGAGGGAAAGGGGGGGGTCGTTCATGGTCGGATGGGAGTCACAGGCGTGGTGACGACTGATTCAACAGTGTATGCACGCGTATTTATTTTTCACTGTAGGAAAGCTGATGTCACCTTGGAAGGCACTTCGTTGTCGCACTCTGCCCTTACAAGCCCGGAGCATCATTTGGCTGTTTTCCCAATGCTCGTCGATGCTGCGATGATTGCTTCGAAAATTCGCGACGGCTTGAGCTGATACGTGAAGACTGGATGTATCGCTCCCTACCCGGCACCCGGAGCGAATGCCGCACAACAAACACCTTCGCCCTCCGCAGGGTCCATCAACTCCGCGATCTAATTATTTCTGGGGTAATGCCGGCCAAAAATTGTGTTAGCAGCAGGCAGAAACACAATACTGTAGAGGCGGAGTACCAATTTGCTTTGAACAGCAAGAGTCTTACGGAGCCGGGCCTTTGACACGAACGTCCAGCCTCTCCTAAGTATCTGTGTACCCTGAGGTGTGACCTCTGGGCAAAAATCATCATCGTGCTCTCCAGCAACGCCTACGAGTCCGTGAACGGGAATCGAAAAATCGTCAAAAACCTTGACAAAATGTACTGTTGTCGTCCATCGGTCGAAAGTTGAATAGGCTAGATACCCGTTGAGTTTGTTCCATCTGACGCGATCGATGCTGTTCTCAAGCCCCCCTCACCCTCTCGAGCAGCACCCGTGCCTCCACCCCCGGAAGACCGATGCTGAGTGTGTTGGGCAGACGCAAGGAGGGGCTGCGGGGACCGTGTACCTTTACGCCGTCCCCCAAATCCGCCGCCATGAGCAGCTCCAGAAGGCGTTCGCGCATCGCGGCAAGGTGCTTCGAGAGCCGCTCGAGCTCGACGTCAACAATCTGCGGTCAGACCCCATGGCACGATGCAACGGGTGGTACAGCATAAACGGGAGGGGGGCATGGGTCAAAGATGATGTGCAGACACGCGAGCCGGCAGCGAGATCGAAGGGAAAGGGACTGGAATCATCATTGAGGAAGGTAACAACAGGGAACAAGCCGCAAAGGGCAGGAAGGGCGGATGGATCCGTGGAACAGAGAGCAGCAAAAACAACAGCACAGCTGCAACTTCAGCGTCGACACAGAGATGCATGTAGATTTTCGTCTGGGTTCCACGATTGAGGCCCACAGATACCCCCCCCCTCTTTCGACAATTTCAAGTACAAAGGGTCGGGGCACTCGTCGTCGCATCGTGGGACACATTCGTCCGCCCGCCAGCATCAACAAGCAGCCTGAGAGATCCACTGAACTGGAGCGGATCGCCGGGAAAAGTCCTCCCAATTGCGGCGGATGGACGTCATTGCACCCTCTACTGGTCCCTGGCCCTGCCATTCGTGGCTTCCCACACCTCTTGGTATCGCCGGGAATTCTTTAGTCCACGTATGCCTTATTTTTGGTAGGCCGCGGCCAAGACCAAACTCGCCGGACCTCGTCCGAAACACGGGGCGACTGAATGAACGCCTCAACGTCGTCTTCTTCACGGGAAGTACAAAACAAAAAAAAACAGCGACAAACGATGGCGACAAAGACAGCGACGACCACGAAGAAGAAGACAACGAAGAATACGACAAACCTCTGCCGCCTTGCCCATCCCAGAAATCAGGAGCACGTTCTCGGTCCCCGCTCTCCTTCCTGCCTCTTGACCCCCGCCGTGTATCATCGGCGGGAGCGCCAGCCCTCGCCGCACGAAGAGAGCGGCCACTCCCTTGGGTGCTCCGAACTTGTGGCCAACGAGGGTGAGCATGTCCACGCCTAGGTCCGCCACCTGCCTTGGTTGTTGCATTCAGTGCCCGGCGCGCGCGAGATAACGGCATGATTTAGCTGCCACCAGAAGAGGGAACCCCTTCTCGAGCGTCTGTGAAACCTGCTGGGTGGATGGTAACAGTGCTAGCGGGGGAAAAACACAGATACAACGTCTTTTGTCCTCAGGGTCCCCGACACGGGGGGCGCAGAAGAATGCCGGACACAAAGGTCCAGCCTCTCCCGGATTTCGAACGTACTAACATAAGAAGACGACACAGCAGTGTGTGTGTGTGTGTCTGTGCGTGCGCGCGGTTTTAAAGTGTGAGTCAACGAGCATCCCCCTTGGGAGGCGAAACAGCGGCGTATCCCGCAGGCGGATTCAGCAAGGAGTTTGGGCAGACGAAACGACGGTATGTACCTCAAAGCTTCCCCGCGAGAAACACTGCAGCCTGTGCCACTTTGTGTCAACGCGGAAGGAAGAGCAAGACACAAAAGCGCAATCACACGTGCTTCGCCTCGCGGCGGGGGCTCATTTCGCCACTCGTTCTTGCCAACGTGATTGTGAACACGGGCTCAAACGATGAACGAATACTAATGCTTGCCGATCAGACCCAGGGGGGGGTGGGAACACGCACCTTCACGGGCACTTTTCCGATGCTTTGGGCGGCATCGGTGTGGCACATGATCCCTCGTTGCCGACAAGCCTCCGCGATCTCCGTGATGGGCTGCAGAGACCCCACCTGAACACGACCGGTACACGCAGAAAGAGCAAAGGTAACCATATTATACGCTGCTGGGAAGAAGAATCCTCTCTCGTGATCTGATGTCGGATACACTCCGAGGAATGTGCCCAGTAGTTGCAACAACTTTGGTGATATATTGGGGTTTCTGTACTTGTGGGACTCGCGCCTCTAATAGCTTGGGTTGTTGAACGCGATGACGGCAACTGCACCGCTCGGTGTCAACAACAACAGGATGCAAATAACAAGGAAGCACAACACATCGGCACCGTACCGAAACCGACGTCTGTGCACCAACGGGTTGATGGTCGCTATTGGAAGAGCGATGCCAAGGGAACGTCTTCTCACGCCAGGATTGCTGGTAATTGTGAGCTTTTCCGTTGCCGGCTTTGTGACGAAAGTATGTGACGCAACCAGCGCCCATAGAAACATGAACATACATCGCTGAATATATAGACCTCTCAACAATTCTTGCCATCGCTCTGCCTGGCAGTCCCAACATAAACACGACACCGGTTGAAACAATCGAGGCTTGCTTGACAGTGTGAGCGATGAAAGTCAATGCCGGTCGAGCGTCACTCCCGCCACTCATGACACAAGGACGTTCTTCGAGTGTGAAGACACCTGATTCTTGCTTTCCGTAGGTGATGTCGGCGCATTTCCGATCGCACGCATCCAAACATGGTACGTCTTCAAGCACGGTCCGAACAACGAAACTGCCTTTGCTCATGGCCATCCCAACTCCGTCCTTCCAAGGGAAGAAGAAGTGCATGAGACCGACCAGCCCTCACCTCGTTGTTGCTGTGCATGATGGTCACAAGCGCCGTCTCCGGCCGAAAAGCTCCCACGACACCCTCAACGGAAACCCTGCCCTCCTCGTCTACCCCAACGAACGTCACTTCCACCTTTCCTTCCGCCACGAGGTGGTTGAGGCACTTGGTGACGGCGGGGTGCTCGATTGCCGAGGACACCACGTGCGGCAGCGAGCTCGAAGCAGCAGAAGGAGGAGCTGTCGCTGCTTTGGAGCTTAGCGCCAACTGGATCGAGACGACGGGGGTATAAATAACGTTCCTAGGTTAGGGGTATGACTCTGGAGGACCGCAACCTAACGGAAGCAAGCGACGGACTTTGCGAGGGGCTGGAAACGAAGTAAAGCGTATCGCAGAAGCGACCGGGCCAAAACCACGCACTGCGTGAAACCCAGCGATTTGTTCAGACCAACCTAGCGTGCATCTTACCGAAGCGAGAATCGCGTGGTTGTCGGCCTCCGACCCGCTCGCGACGAACACGACCTCTTCCGGCGAGCAGCCGAGCAGCGACGCCACGCGCGCGCGAGCCAGCACGACGGCCTTCTTGCAGGCCCTCCCCAGGGCGTGGCCGCTCGAGGGGTTTCCGAAGCACTCGCCGAGGAAGGGAAACATCTCGCGTGAGACCTTTAAATAAATTCAGAAAAGGAAGGGAAATGGGTTGTTCGTAGGACGGCGTATTGTCGAGGAGGAATGCGTATGTGAAGAGACCATGTGCGGAAGCGGGGAAGGGCATCTTGCGCAAGACTCGAAATTTGATGAGGTTGCACAATCCAGGTAGGCATATATGCGGAAGGAGCTTGCCGGAAGTCTCGAAGAGAAAGAGGTACATCCCTCGAGATTGATGGGCATGCGTGTCTCCGCGAAGATAGGGACCTGGTCGGTGATCTCATCGTTCCAAAGCAGCCACACATATCGAGACTCCACAAAGGAAAAGGTAAACGAAAACATTACACAACAGAAAGGGAACGGGTGAGGTCGGAACCTAGCCAAGGGTTCACACAACACCTCACCACAAGACCAATACCGTGCCAAGTCCAGAATATCTCCTAGGAAACAACTCGTGCGAGACTCAAGTAAAAACATTTGCTGGTTCCTGGCAGCAGCATTGGTTTCCAAGACGTTGGTCCCAGGCTTTGAAGGGGCTTTGTGGTCCAAGAGAAGCAACTAAGCCTCTGTGCTAGAAGGAAGGGGAAACAAACACCACAACCGCGGGCAAGTTGGCCAACTGTCCGCAACGCTGAAAAGAAAACGCAGGAGTTGCTCATATGCGAAAGGGCAGCTAGCTTGACGTTCCTCACACTCGAAACAGCTTGACCTTCTTCCTCGGACTCGAAAATAGACAGCAGGGGTCAGAAGACTCACCTCCGGAAATATCGGCGAAGTGGCGTTGTAGTCCTGCAAGGCGACGACAACACCGGGCGGTCCAAATAGAGAGACGGATCAAGCGCAAGACAAAAGATCTACATAAAAATAGAGGAAGATCGTCAGGTTCTCGCCTGGTGTACTCACAAGCGTGTTTCTCGGGCAGTCATTCCTCGCCATGCTCAAATCGACTTACATAAGAGGCTACAAGAAGGGTTTCACACATATCGTTTAACATAACTGGCCACCTTTCTTCCTTGCCTGGGAGCAGCTGCTCTTCCTCTCCCCTCCCCCTCTCTCAGTTGGGGGCACAATAACAGCGGAAGGTATCGTTACGTCGTCTTGGAACAATTACAGCAGAAGGGTCATTAACTGCAGTGTGTCAACAAGCCCTTCAGTTTGTTGTTGGTCTGTTGACCTTAACACTGCGACTGTGCCTCTCTCGCGCTCTTCCTCACCAGGTAAATGCACCGCCGGGTCCCTCGATAGGGTAACGCCACGGCTATCCCAGTCTTGGAACTCATCCCGTCCGTGTTCAGACATGCACGCGGGGAGAAGAACTTGTTTGTGGCATCGACGATAACCAGCACGAAGAACGTCATGGCCACGATATACCAAAAGCCTGCGTCTGCACGGATGGGTAAAAAAAAAACAGAACCATACATTGAATACTATGTATACACGTGAGGGAATTGTACAGGTCCAACAATGCTCTGAACAAACCGGCGGATCCCCTTGATTCACAGATGATGCAGATACTTGCGTCGCCTCCCGCGCTTTTGTCGCAAAGTGAGAGCGTTAAAATACCAGACAGTTGGCTGCACGCTAGAGGGATGAAAACGGGTGTCGACGATTGCGAGGCGAAAGCTCACCGGAAAACCGCATCAAGTTTCCGGTGGTAGCGGGCGTTTCGATGCCAGCCGCGGCGGTTACTTCGGCTGTCACGGATCCGACACACATCCCTGCTGCCACGGCCGCCACCGAGAACTTCACAGTCGACAGGCAGCGGGAAGTAGCGGGCGGTCGGCGGGCAGATGGACACACAAATTGGAAGCGGTCACTAGCGTCGAAGTCGCTGCGGGAGAGGGTTGAGGGATGCGGTACTACACCGAACAGACACGATACCACGATCCAGGTCGCTCGAGATATAGAGGCAGGCAACTACAGGAGGACCCCGTTATTCATGTGCGCCCACTGGTTGGGGAGAGCAGCAGCGCGACAGGAGAGAGAGAGCATCGTTGCTGGCTCCGAACCACACCGATGTGCCAGCCACCTCACACCGCGAGGCGACTTTGCTGGTGCAATATTCGATGAGGTTAGACCGTGTCCTCAGAAAGAGACCTTGCGGGCGCACCTCTCTTGAGTGATTGGTGGATAAAAACCTTGAACATGAAATATGTGTCTTTCATCGAATGAGGTGGGGGGGGTGTTATCTACCGTGGTTGGAGGTTGGTCCGAAAGTTTGCTCTTCCCGACCAGCTCTTCGTTGGCTTACCGAGCATGCCTGAGCTCTCCATAAAATCAAAGTCAGTGGAGCGGGTGTTTGGCAGCAGAAATTGTGTAGCGCTACAGCAGTACCACGCACACGAATGATCTATAGGTAGTTCCCACACGCCAGAGACTCACCATCGACAGAAGATGCATATCCTTCGAAAGTGTATCAGGTACAGCAGTACAATTGTAGTAGCCTGCTCTTGATGGCGTGTTCCGCCTTGATCACCAACACCCGATGCTGCCCGGTGTTGATCTGAGCATTCAACACCGCAGATCCTGTCCTGGGTGATGCTGATCCGCGGATGGTGGGGCTTGGTGTGCCCTACTGCTTTAGTCTAACAGTTTGGGGAGTGTCGAGGTAACGAAGGATGTCGCGAGCTGCTCTTGTTGAAGAACACAACCTTTTTCGCGGTTGCTGAGACGATCAGGAACAGCAGGAGATAGCAGCCCTGACGAATATGCAGTGGGCCGACAAGAGACAGCACGTCGCGCGCCAAGCGTGTTGTCAGAAGCAGCGCAACGGCCTCATGCAAGGGCAGCTACGCAGCTAACCAGAGGCGGCGAGACTGTCAGGTTTCACAGCTTGTCGGGCGTTTTGGTTAAAAAAAAGAAAGTCACACAGAGTCCGCAACAGACAATCTTTGGCGATTGACAGGCCCACAGGCCACAAGCCAGACCCAGCACCCAGCACACGGCAGTGACTACTTCTGTCGTCTGCCCTCCGAGCTCGCCCTGTAGCGCATTGCATCTTCTGCGATGTCGGATGAATCTAGCCACGATAGTAGCAGTAAACTGAATGGGCTGGTGGGTACCGGGGGGAGGCCGCTTCAGATCGGGGACGAGATCCCGAACTTCACGTGCGAATCTCACATGGGGAGCATAACGCTTCACTCGTACATCAACAGCGGCTGGGGGGTAATCTTCACGTGAGAGGCGTGAATCTGCGTAGCTGTCAATTGTCACAGTTTGCTGCGCTTTTGTATGTTAGACTGTACCAGACACGACAATAGTAGTTAGTCTAATCCTGGCCGTTGTGTCTAGGTATCTTTCGGTGATGTTGCGTGAGACTTTGGGTATCATGCATGCAGCAGTGCTGTGCTGTACCACGTACATGTATATCAGAAGGCCATTGGTGACACCACCAAAGCAATCGTATAGTCTCGAGGGAAAAACTCGAGCAAGTCAGCTTGAGCACTTGCTGTTCCAGAGAAACGCGCCCCTTGCGCTAAAAAGGCTTGTGCCTGTACGTTGGTGCGCATCTGATTGTGCCACTTGGCCAGACATTCGCATGGGTGCGTCCTGCCGACGGGATGCAGATGTTACGGCTCGACCCTAGGGGGGACAACCGCTGTAGGACAACACACTTCCACATTAAACGCTGCGCCGCGCACGAGAGCAGTACCTTCCGTTGTTGTCTGTTGGCGGCTGGGCCTACAACTACAACATTTTCTCGCATTAATTGCAAGCTGTTGTCTACTCCGTGTACAAGATGTTTTGATTTTGGTACATTTGCGGCACTCCCGGTTCTAAGGGGTTCCTGCCGATCCACCCACAACCGCCCTCTGTACTATTAAAGATATCCGCGAAATAACGACCCTGTAGCTTGCACGGAGCTTGGAATGCTGAGCAAACTGTCCGAGGAGTTCGACGAGAGGAACTGCAAGCTGCTCGCCATCGGCGTGGACTCAAAAATAGGACATCGGAACTTCATCAAGGAGGTGCAGGTACTGACAAGAAAACCACATCAATGGTTCAAATGACATGACCGGATGACAAATCTTACAATACACGAGGGCACACGGCACCACCAACCAGAAAAGCCCTTACGGTAGGCCTGGTGCTAGTGAGCTGTAGACGAGGTGGGAGCTCACAATCCCGTAAGGCCGCGAACGCACTTTTGAATTGGATCGCGACAACGAGTGAGAACGAACCATCAGCATGCACGCCGCCAGTGCAGGGCGACGACAACTAGACTATATCCTCCCCGCCCAGCGCCAAATGATCAAAGGCGACACCGCGTGATTCTCAAACCCCGCTTGCACTTGCCCGACCTACCCAGGAACTCCAGGACTGCGAGTTGAAGTTCCCCATCATAGCCGATGCCAGCGGCGAGATATTTTCGCTCCTGGGTTTGGTACGGGAGGATGCAATGGACCCCACCAAAGGACTTGTGCCTCAGGTGCTGCGTGTGATGGTGTATATCGCACTCATGGGTGTGGGTATTTGTTTGCCGCAGATTTGAATCGAGAAGACCACGTCCAACCAGTGCGCTTGCCTGGAGACAAATAGTATTATACGTTTGGCGTGCCAACCGGCCGTGGTTAGCGCGCAAAGATTTCGACACCACCAGTGCCTGGGGTGCTGTGCACGGCTTCTTAGACAACGACAACTTATCTTGTTGATGCCAGCCAGACGAATGGATGCTGTAGTAAATTCGAGTTCCCGTCAAGTTTTCATACGCCCCCCCTTCGTGTGTCCTCCTGCCCACAAGTTGGCCAACCACTCCACGCAATCATGACTCTTGCTGAACAGACGTCTTTGCTGGTGATCGACTTGGACTTGCGTGTGAGGATGATAGTCCAGTACCCGTGTACTGTTGGGCACAACTACTACGAGGTGGGACGATCTGCGTGATACGAAATATATTGCAACCATCCCTTACACCACGACGGCCATAGGCGTTTTTGTATGAATGTATGCATAGAGAACCATCAAACCAATCGAGCCGGGGCAACTCACCGAAACCGTCAACTATCATCGTGGGGTATCACCAGCGTACACCGAGCCTGCCCATCTTGGACGATACATCCCGAGTCTACCATGGCAAGCCGTGGACGATCCCACCCCCTCTCTCCCCTGTGCATGCGTATGATGTGCGTTCTAGTTCTAATTATTTGTCTGTTCTCCTGGGGGGCACAACGCAGGCTCTGAGGGCGATTGATGCGCTGCAACAGGCAACGTTCAACCGGGTCGGGATACCGGCCAACTGGAAAGAAGGCGAGGATGTGCTTGTCGGGGCAAACGTAAGTCTTCCTCTCCCCCCACTTCCCCTACCCCTGGGACCTTCCAAATTTGTCTGTTTGTGTGTATTCCTCGCACAAGCCGTTTCTGATGTGTAGGTCATTTTGACTTCTACCCTGGCGTACCTAGAGTTCCGTGGCAACACGTTTTTGCCAATGGAACATCAACTCGGCCAGGCCCGGTCCCGATCATTCGCCGAACTGGGAACCATAAAAATCTATTGTCACTGAGACACGTTGGAAATCTGGGCGGAAACGGTTCCCGCTATTGTAGTGGTTGACACATGGTACCGGGACAAAGACAAAAAAACTGTCAAGTTCAACGGCACCCATACCAGTGAGACGTGTCGACGGTCCGTATCGAGTCTCAAATCACGTACTGCCCGTTATCCCAGGTGTCATCGTCGGACGTTGGGCAAATGTTTCCCAAGGGGTTCGTCCAGCTACGACCATGGTTCAGGGTGACCCCTCAGCCAGACTACGACTGACAGTTACGCGAGGACGGAGAGGGGGAAAAGGGACGAGGGCGGGGGCGGGCGGGCGGGGGGTGCATGCCCTACAGAAATAAGAGCCAGGATCCATCGTTCAAAGCTCGTCTTGTGGGCCATACTTTGCCACAGGTTGGTAGATATTCGTGACCTATTTTCTGAAGGACCCAATGTGACCTGAGTCTTGAGATCACTGCCCATCAGGCTTGCCTTGAAGACCACTGCCATTTGAGAAAGGATAGCGAAAAGCAACGCAAGAACTCCAAGGTACTACGACAACAACGGGGTCGTGCTGACAGACACCCTTTTCAACACGGCAGGTTCACCAGTTTCACGCGCATCAAGGGCTAGGCTCTGGTTCAACTAGCATCCAAAACATTCTGCCATTTCCATGTCTTTGCTTCCCATGGCCACAGCGGTTGCCCGGGGAAACATCGCCTGCTGTGCATACAACACCGGCAAGTATGTATCATCCGAGTGTGTTAGCCAACGACAATAAGAACCACGATCAGAACCACGACACGAACATCTATCTGTGGATTTTCTAACTCCGAGCGAAACGCCAAGGGCAAACGCGACTCGCAATCGCGTCTGGGGAGCGAGCAAAAATCGAATTCCTTCTTCGACCGCGGAATAGTCTACCGAAGTCTCCCGAAGGAAGTCTTCGAAATACCCATTGGCACTTACCAAAAGCGAGTTGGCAATGTACCTACAGAACGATCGATTGGCCGTTCGGGAAACGCCTCTGCATATCAACAGCGTAGACTCTCTCGCTCCTCCCTTTACGACACCCTATCAAAACAAGTTACAGGGCGTTCGAATACAGAGCATCTGCCCTTGTTGGCTGACTGGAATTCAGGTGTGGACTCTCGCGCCGAAACGTGATCTGGACAAGTGTACAGGACTATTGTATGTGCTGATCACCACATTTTTGTTCGTTGCCTTCTGCTGCATGACACATTTGAGTTGCGTAGCAGGGGGGTCATTGCACTCACCACGATATGACCCTTGGTTCGGTACTCGAGCTCCCACTGCTTGATGGTGCCCTCCGACATCTCGACAAACTCGGCCGACGCCTCGAAGGCTTCTCGCCTCGACACCCCCTCGAGTAACTTGCTGTACACCGCTCTCAGGGCGAGGGCTTTGATGAGCAGTTTGCCAGCTTGTGCGTGCGAAACATCCATGGTCTCCTGGGGCGGCAAGGGTAAATCATGGCGGTGGGAGAAGAGGGCAGTGTTTGGTGTGCAGCTCGTTTCGTTGCACACATAGCACACACACACACGTTTCAGATCTCGGGAGAGAACACCGTCGCGTGCAGCGCCAACAAGCAGTAAGACAGCACAACTCCGACAATGTATCGTACATTGTACATGTTCAGAGAAAGGATCCAACACAACTGCTTCAGCAACAGGGTTCAATACAGCAGTTCAACAACAGTAGCAACAGCGATGGCTACATATGTACCACAGAACTACGGGGCCACTGCTGTGTGAAAGTCAGTACACAGGATACCAGCCAGATCCACACTCACGTCGAGCCCAGCAGATGTTGCTGCAACTGCACTCTGGCACTCCTTCACAACGGCGCGGAAGTACTCGACTCCTTTCTCCCAGCCAGCCTTGCGTGCAGCGGACGCCAAGGCTGCCTTCTCCAGCTGCGATCTATGATTTGCGAGCTTGCCCAGAGCCTCTGTCCTTCGCACACCCCTGTTGCTCTGGCGCTTGAGGAAGGCCTGTCGCCAGTCCTTCTCATGTCTGTCCACTTCTCGCGCCGCATCAAACATCGCGCTTGAGAGGGCCCGCACATGCCAGCCAGCAAACGCCAGCTGGTCTTGCTCCACGCACGCCTGGTATGTTTCCATCATTGCACGCAACCTCTTCCGGCCGAAGCTTCCCTTCGGTCGGCCAGCCCCTTCACGTGCTGCCTGCTTTGCACGTGGTGGAGGCACTGGGAGGATCTCGGCCGGGGGTTGACAGTCCCGCGGCCGTTTTTCTCGAGGAGGAGGTGTGACGTTGCTCTGGCGCCCCGCATCTGGAGAGAACGGCGCTACCGCTAGAAGAAGACGGCCGCCACGCAGTAGCGAACTTTGCTTCGGCCGACCAGTCACGTGCCTTTTTGTTTGACTTTGGGTAGTTGATGCAGTCGCTGTACCAGCTGCTGCTGGAACCATCCGCGAGGTCTGCTGTCAGCTGCAGACGATACATTTTCGGGCTCTTCACTTGATGCACACCGGTCAACGTAGAACCACGCCTAGTCAGGGCTTCCCTGATGGCCGCATGGGCCTCAGGGCGAAGCATGGAGGTCATGGGCGTGCAGTGCGTGCACCGCTAGCTTGTTTTGTTTTCAGCCGTTGGGGCTGATGTGGGCAATTTTTGAAAAATCTTGTTTCTGATTTTTTGCGGCATGTTGTCAAAAAGGTTCGGAAATGGAACCAACGCCATAAAATAGAACAGAAAGAGAGCGTCAATTATCTGCAATTTTTTTCGGTGGGTTCGCCGTAGTTGTCGAGATATGGAGGATTCAGTGGAGTAAAGTCCCTTCGCTGGCGATGGTAATAGGTCCATAACTCTTGATCCAGAGCGAACCCACCGCTTTTGAAAGGCTTATTCGAAAGCTACTGGCGAGAGCTTTCGAACGCACATTTGTTTGTCGCCCAATTCTTTTGACAACCCTTTCAAAAAAATCACCCCGCCCCAAAAATGTGGGACAATCGATGGAACTGTAGGAAACAAAATCGTGGCAAAAGCGTCTTGCTTCGTCTTTACAAGTTAGGGCCGCTCTTTTCCACAGGACACAAGAGCAACGCTGTCCGCCGTCCTGCCCGACATAGCTTTCTCAGCCAAAAAAGCAAGCACAGCATTAGCGCCAAACAAGGCGTCCGTGACAAAGATCCCGATAATGCCACCACACTACATTAGCACACTGGTAAGGCCAAGAAAAACGGCATGTAATCAGGAAGGGAATACTAGAGGGGTCAGTCAATCTAATCGAGGAATCATGTCCCTTACCGCACCCCCACCAACCCATCTCCCTCCGTCGAAAGAACCCGAAGTCAATCGGTCATACTGCCTGTAGGCGGGAAAGAAAGCAACGAGAATGCTTCCCCTGCACGCGGCGTCCTTCCTCTATTTCCTAATGAAATGAAACCTCACGATATCACTAAACCGTACCAGGTATATATTAAAATCAAGAAAACTCGAGATGACTAAACTGTTGGGAATTGTGCGACGGTGTCCCCAGAAATGCACTAATTTCGACACCATTTCACTCTGTTGGTTTTGAAAAACATCACCGAAATCTACAACCAGCGACGGTGGGTGCTATTTCACAGCTGGGAGAAAGGACTAAAAACGAGCTCCTTGCGAGGATTGCTCTCTCTGTCTCTCTCCGCTCCTCCACAACAACGGCGCGCTCCCCTCTCAGCCACTGGAGCTGCGTGGCTCCTATCGCGACCATGGGCAGTCAGTCACACTTGCGTGTTCTAATGTTTGTTCCTTGCGCAGATCCAATTTACTTCTTATCCCCCTCCTCCTCCTTCCCCGAGACCTTGTCGACGATGTCGTCGAAGAGCATCTTCCACGTGTTCTGCGGCTTGTTGCAGCTCTCCACGTAGATAAGGTGGGTCCCGAACTGCGTCTCTACCGGGCCTGGAATCACACACAGAGGACAACACCAAAAAGGCACAAATAGAGGTGTATTGGAAGTCGAGCCTGGTTCGGGTCCCACTGCAGCAGGACCTCAACAAATTGCCTGGTAGCTACATCATACGGTGTCGAACCAAACCTACGCCGAGAATACATGTGACAGCTGGGCCAGTACAGCGTATGCGTAGGGTGCGGAATCTCTCAATGCGTGTGTTGTCTGTTGACATATGTAGAGGGCTTCTCTCTCAAGGCAGAATCAGATCGCACTCATGTCGTGTTGTAGATGGACGGAAAACAGGTCAACCGATTTCGCCGGCAGGATAAGAACGCTACCACACCCGCCGCCAACACCATCGCCACAAACAAAAACAACGACGAGACTCAATTTTTCCACGATCCTCCCAGGAAAACGGAAAGAGGAAGACTCACCGTGGACCACTCCGAGCTCCCCGTTGAACGCGATGTCGTCAAATTCGGGAACCGTCTCCCCACGAGCCAGCAGCTTCAGTCTACCCCCCCTGGGCTGCACACACCAGAAGAGCCGGAACATCGCAAGTAGCCGCACGCACAGGTGAAAAAGAGGTAGGTATTCTTCCTCGACAGACGTTGGACACTCTGACTGGCCCTCGATCGTTCTCTCTAGTTTGCGGTTGCCACAATTTCTTGGTGTTTGGCGGCGACGGTAGCGGGATTTGATCAAGGGTTATCTTCCAACATTTCATCGTCGACACCACCGTGACAAGAGGGAATCGTCCAAGACGGACGTTGGGGAGATATGACCCAAGCCAAGAGGTAAAGGCCACCTCCACACACATGTGTGGATATTACAACGGATCCCTCCGTCGTGAGCTCCTAGATGCCGGAATTGCGGTGCCGTTCAGCTGGGCCCATGCAACACCGCGCTCGACCTCCAATTTGGCGGGGTGCGTACGGTGGTTCCATGACCCAACACCCTACAAAATCCAACGCCGTCCAGCTGTAGAAAAAAAATGCTCGGCTCACCGCACTGGTACACGTGCTCATCTTCTCCGCCACTTCGGAGAACTTGTCGAGGTCTCCCGCGATCTCTTCCTTGGCCTCCTCGAGCTTGGAGCGACCCTCCTCTCCCTTCTCCTCGACCAAGATGTGCCTCACCCGCGCGTAGCGGGGGTCCGACATCTTCTCCAGCGTCCCCTTGAAGTCGAAGCCCATCGACAACGATGACGTTGATGTCCTTGCTACAAGTTTGATTGCAGCGAGCGAACGTTTTGAGGGTTTTGGGGATATGGACACCATTTGTGTGCAAATAATAATATTTAGTGTAGGGCCAACATGACGGCGTGAGGTATCAAAAGTCCTCGCGGGGGAAATGTCGGTGAAATAAATGTATCTACGTTGTGATTAACACTGGCAGTACTTGTAGATGTCAGGCGGTTTTCTTTCACAACATCTCGCGACAGCGTTTGGATCGACCTGCGGCACCACTGGAAGCCAGCCGACCTGCAGGCTACAGCAGTACGTCTGCAACGGTGGGACATAGCGCAGGAAATTCTTGAGTATAGATGATGGTCATATCGCCCCACCACATTCCAACACGACCCTTCAACACCGGTGGAATATCGATGCCTCGCAGTTTCACATCTAGGAGTAGTAGTGTTGTAGAGTTCCCAAGCCGCCTCGATCAAATGTAACGTCTACATAGCGCTCCGACGAATGATAACTTGCAGATTACCGTCTCTACAGCAGTATGTCTCTCTGCTATATGTTGTGGTCGTAGGGTCAGGGCACAGCAAGCAGTTGGCGCTCGCGGGTAGGTGCTGCCACACTATTGTCAAGAAAAAATCATATTCAGTCAAACGAACAAGGCAGGTCACATCACCACAAGATCTACGGATGTGAGTGCCTGTCGGCGGGGAACTGGAAAAGCTAGCATCCCAGCTGCTGTAGATGCCGTAGAAAAAAACAGCATTTCTCTTCCGGCAGAACATGTCTGTCTGCAATCTGGAGCAGGAATTTGCTCCTCGCTCTGCTCATGAGCCTTGCCCACATCATACCACAAACCAACACCACGATGGCAGCAACGCCATGACGGCTAGAGTTAGCGGTTAATATTTCCAGGAAGAGCAGCAATCGCGCCAGCACTAACCCGCCGCCCTGCACACCAAGCAGCATGTAGTAGCAGTAGCCGCAGAACGACACATCAACAAGGCAGAGTTGACCTTACCTGGTGTGCCCACAGCCGAGCGCGCATTCCGGCAGATAGAAGGCGCAGGGACGAACCCGGCCACGCTCACCAGCACGCACAATAGAAGCAGTATCGTTTCCCGCATCATGTCTCTCGCTTGCTGTGGCACGAGGAGAGGAGAGCAGCAGGATACCGACTGCAACCAGACGCACCTCGCTCGGAGTTTTGCGCCCGCTCTCCCCGCTGTCTTTCACAGTCCCTCGATCTGCGGAGCCCCCTCCTAGCTCAGGGAGGTGTTGTTGGGGGCTCCGCCGTTTCCCTCTGGCCACGCTGCAGCTGTCTCGCGCTGTCCATTGTGTCTGGAGAGCAGCTGGCGTGGTACATGGCTCGATCAACGGGAGAAGGGTGAGATTGTGTAGCAGAAGTGTATTGGATTTGGAAGCTGACTACACATTGTATTTTTTGCACGGTTCCTCAGGTACCCACTTGCAGTATATTGTACGGACGTCGCATTTTTGAATTTGAAAGTTGTCAAATTCGTTCGATAGTAAAGCATTAGCGCCCCCGTTGTTCCTCTGTTGGGGGTTAGCCTTGGAATGGTCTGTCAATGGTAAGATTTCACCCTATTGCTGAGTGGTTGTTGCGCTGTTGCACTGTGTTTTCAAGAGTCGAAATGGGCAGAGACTCGGTAGTAGGACTAAGAGCTCTTTGTCTCTTCCTGTGCCCTTGTACAGCACCCACTCACTGACGGTTGGGATATGCGGTCTCTTGCCTCACTCAACTCGAAGGGTAGGTGCATTAACTACATCCGTGCTCTGTAGTTCACGGCGTGAATATGTACTGCTGTACGCATCAAACATCGCGACAATGTTCGGAGCGTGCAAGCTTTCAGACATGGAGTGTCAAAGGATTGCCATTGTACCCGCGGTGGGCACGCCATTCTACACCACTCCCGTTACGACGGGTAGCGTTTATGTTGGATAGTTTCTCTTGGGGTCTGCTCAAGTATCCATGGAAATATCCGTAATAGTTTTAAATGATGTGCATGATTTGTTTCGTGTGCAGAAGAGCACGGCGATCACCGCAACTGCTGTGTATGGCCATCCTTGTCTTAGAGGAGTGTATTCTCCTTTATGCCTCACGGCAGCCAAAGGCAATCACTCCAGCACGTCGGCACTTGTACCAGTGCGGAACGCGCAAGCTCTAATAGGTTCCGCCGAGGCTGGGGTTGTTAGTTGCCGGGGCCATGCTACGAATGGTCGCCATATAGATTCAAGTGTTGCTGTTGTTGTTGTTGTTGTTGTTGTTGTTGTTGTTGTTGTTGCTGTTTCTGTTGTTGTTGTTGTTGTTGTTGTTGTTGTTTCTGTTGTTGTTGTTGTTGTTGTTGTTGTTGTTGTTGCTGTTGTTGTTGTTGCTTCTATTGTTATTGTTGCTGTTGT